TGCAGTACTACGAACATAGGTAACATCTTACGCGGGGTGCGAGCTATATAAGTAGAGGCAGATGCAACTAACTTAGTAGTATCTGCTAATACAGGTGGCAGAAGTAACTATGAAGTTGCATATGCCATTAGTGATAGCAGACGGAGGTAAATGGCTTATTTGATTATAACTTCCCACAGAGTATACATACATATTCTTGCACAAGACTGTACAAGTCGTGTGAACGTGCCTTAAATTAAAACTTTTTTTTAGGAGGCAACATACTATATGTCGGTCATGCATCATCACTGGACCTTATGGTGTTATCGCTAAAACGCCTTGGTAAAGATATGGAAAACAGGACAAGAGCAACGTATATAGTGAATCATCATGTAGTGAGGGTTCCATACTGCTCTTTAGGCGCCATGTTGGATAAACCCTTCCAGGTGGTTCCTCCCCCATGCCCACCGCATGTCAACACAAGTTCTAGAAGATTCGACTGGAAAGTCCTTCTTGATTCAGAATTCTGATACAAACTGGTTTAAAGCCACTCAAACCAGATTTTTTAAATTTAGTGAACATTTTTCCTACGGTGCATCAAAGGTACACAATGTAAATTCATATATCGGACTCATTATATTAATCGTTTTAATATACAGTTATACAAAATGATTTTACAGATTTGTGATTGTTGACGTGATTATTCCTGAAGTTGTAAATATATTATTTTTTAACTACATATTTTGTATGCTTTCAATTTTTAATCTGTATACGCTAATTGTACTCTCTAACGTAAAATATTAAAGATTAATATAATAATATATAAAATTACATGGTAAAAAATAAAGAGCCCCGCCACCTGCTTAGTGTTTATTTACTAGAAATGTTACCGACGGACAAACTATCGGTAATATTTTGTTTATAGTTCGCACTGTACCTACACAAAATCTTTAAATTGTTAATGTAGAAATATAACCTCACATTTTCGCAAGTACTTTCTACACGTCGCGCAATTTTGTTGTTATTACTTCAAGATTTTATATGTAGCTCGCTGAAACTTTACTATCACTATACAAACAAGTCAACTATACAAAGCAATGCCGATTAAAGTTTCAGAAAATAAGTAAATACTTTTTATTCAAAAAACTGCGACGTGATATAATTTTTTTTATACCTATTAGGACTTAGAATATAGCCCTTGTCAGGTTCTGGGAATTATTTGATAGCTTTTAAAACCCTGTTTAGTATCACTATTCTATTTAAGATATTTCGTTAACTGCTTGCAGTGATATAAACTAGTAGTAGAGCTCCTTGTGAAGAGTTCGTCTAGGAAAGTACTGCCACCTAACATATTTCTGCCGCCAAGCAGTATATTGTGTACTAGTTGGGTAATGTGAGCATTACTGCGTTCCGATTTTGAAAGGTATGGGTGCTGGAGAAATTACAGGCACATGGGACTTGTCAACTTATGTCTCATGGTGACGGGCGCAGTGGGTGTGCCCCTCAGATCTATGCATTTTAAAGCTCTAAGTGGCACTGCAACTGTTATAAACAGGCGTGTGGCATTCCACCAGGCACACGACTTGTTCGTCCCGTCACTTGATATCATAAAAAAACTGACACTAACTGGCGACACTTTACGAACAGGGGCCACACCAATATAATAGACATTACTTCTGAGATAGTAGGCAAAGCGGTTACTCAGCGCACGCTTGCCGTCGAGGGTCATAATGACACGAGAATATCTAGCGAAAACTAAGAAGGTACGGGTGTTCGTTTATTAAACGTAGCTTTGCCACATGGGAAGCGTAGCGCGAGATATGAAAAAGTGCAGTTTTCGTTTAGTACCGATATTGGTTTCAACGTGCAACATATCAACTAGGACCTCAACGTATCAACCATTTTTTTAAGTATATAAGACCATGGTATCAACATAATATACGCAACACTCCCAACAGCGAAGAAACGTTTATTGCCGGAAATCGAGGAGATGACGCACTAATACACTCTAGCACGAATAGCTGCCGCTCTTCTAGGTTGCATTATCTCTTAGTCCTCCTAATGTGCTTCATCGAAGTTTTAAGAGTCTAGTTCGTCCGGTCTCGAATCAGACGCCATAATCGTATTCGAATTATTTTTGTTGCAATTGAACTTGCTGCGTAACCATAAAACATGAATTTGTCACATATTGTCGCCCATTATCATAGGATTCAGGATTGGACTATCTTACATTGCTACCAAGTCTCCAACTTAGATTAGATTGTTCTGCGTCTTCTGAGTGATTACTAATGGAACGTGTGAAAGGGAAGTCATCCACTTTCCATTACAGCAACATTTCCGACTTTTAAGTTTCTCCTTTTTATAAAATGTACTGATTTTATTCGCGCGACCTGACAGCCTGAATAATTATTTAATGTACCAATCAGTAGATTCGGGAAGTAGATGTGCTTCTGCAACCTGAGTTGCCTAATGCTAGAAATTACAGTATGAGCATTTAAAAATAATTTCTGAAAGTAATAGTCGTTTGGCAAATATTACAACACCCTATATTATAATTTACCAATTTAATAGGTAATTGACCGTTTAGACATAAAGCACATTTTTAACCGACTTCAAAAACCTCCGTTTTTAATTGATTGATTGATTGATTGGTTCTCAATTCGACTGTATGTTTTTTTGTATGTATGTTACGCGATAACTCCGGGACTTTATGCACCGATTTTGAGGATTATTTTTTTATTGGAAGGGTACCTCCATAGTGGGCCCATTTAATTTTGAAGAAAATCACCCACCTCTAAGTGTGGCTGTTCACGCATGAAGACTAATTTTTATAAATAGTGCCTACATTTTATTATAAGGAGCAATTATTTTAATGGCTAAGTTTGCTAGTCTCCAATTTAATTTTTAATATAATATAGGCGTTTTTAATATATGTACAGTCAATAACACATCAGACTAAACATTTTTGTTTGTAAATCGCCTCCAGTGCAACAGAAGAAGATACGTCAATGTGTAGCTTAACGTGCTGTTGCCTGTACTTTAAGCTGTGAGAACCGATTTTTATTATCTCCTGTGTTACGGTCCCGTACGTGATCCTAGAACTACACCGAAACCGGATTTTGTCTACCTTAATTCATGGACACAAGGATATAAGCTTCAAATCAAGAAAATCAGTGAACTTAACTGCTAGTCGTTCAGGTCATGGATGTAGGCTGGTGAAGGTGTACATAGCCCTTTTATATGTTTGCCATGCGTGGATTCATTGGGCGTAGGGGGAAACCCAAAACCATATTTTCCGACAATGGTCTATCATTTGTTGATGCTTACAACGACCTTTCAAAATTTTTTAAAAGTAATTGTGATTCGCTGTCGTCTGTGGTCGCCAATGAAGAAATAAATTTCTGTTTTATTCCAGCTTATTCGCCACGTCTCGGAGGTCTATGAGAGGCTGGTCTAAAGTCGGCCAAATATCATTTACAAAGAGTGTTGAGCAATTGTAACTTAACTTTTGAAGAACTTTATAAAGCACTTGTCGAAATTAGCATGTAATAACGTATACACTCATCATAGCCCCGCACTAGGGAAACCGTGTGTCGCGGGTGCCATGGACACTCACATAGACAATCACAAATTACATCCAAACTCAAGAGAGAAATAAATATAGGCCATACAAATATTTCTCCTGGCCCGGGAATCGATCCCGGGACTTCTGCGTGGCAGTCCGCAGTGTTAACCGTTCGGCAACGGAGGCAATTGAAGCAATCCGCAATTCGCGACCACTTACCTCTCTCTCGAGCGATCCAGATGATCTAATGCCATTGACACCAGGACATTTCATCATCGGTAGACCGCTCACTTCCTTGCCAAGCCAGAATTACCAAGATGTGCTAAACAATCGCTTGAATCGTTTCCACCAAATTGAAAAACTTCGACAACATTTTTGGTACAGATGGAGCAAAAAATATATCTAAGAGCTTCAACTGAGGACTAAATGGCGTACTTGTAAAGACACATTGAAGATGAACGCTCTAGCAGTTCTAAAGGAGGACAACCTGCCACTTAAAATGGAAATTGGGTCGAGCTACAACTCGTGTTTCCTGGTACTGATGGCGTCAATAGAATGGCTGATATCAAAACTTCTACAGAAATTGTAAGAAGATCCTTTTCAAAACTTTGTCCACTTCCTGAAGCAAGCATTACTGGTTGAAAGGCAAACTTTCAACGGCCGACGGAATGTTCACGCATAAACTCATTTTTATAAATAGCGCCTAAATATGTTATTATTTTATAAGGAGTAATTATTTTAATGGCTGATTTTGCTGCGCTCCAATTTAAGGGTTTTTCTCTCAATATACTTTAAGCAGTGAGCACCGATTTTATTATCTCCTGTGTTAAGTCCCGTACAGTGGCGAACTAGGGGGTGAATCCAGGTTTGCGCACTTTCCGATAACCGATTGCAATAAAACTTGAGAAATAGATGTAATTCCACGAACTTTTGAGGTTGGTTTTTTCAGACCTAGGATGGTTTTTTTAGTACTCTGTACTGAGATTATTATATGACGTCAACTCATAAAGGAAACTTTAGCAAAACAAATATATTATATATTCCTGATAAAAAGGCCTAAAACGGCCCATTCACTACCTGCATGGCGCTCCGCCGCGTAGGTAGGAGCACACTACCCTGTGTATGGCCCTCGTATGAAGTCTCGCAGGACGCATTGCAGGATGGCTTGCACGCGGCGACTACATTTATAATCCTGCATTATGCGGTGGATGGCAAGCCGGACTGCAATGCAGGATAATTAATGCCCCCTTTTACTCAAATGTGTTCAATTTAAAATGTATCAAAATTTCGCGTCTTAAAATGTCGCGTATCCGAAAAACTAAACTATGTTAAAAAAGTTCATCTATAAAATTCTTTTAGATTTTGTAAAATTATGAAATTTTGCTATATGTATTAACGCACGTGACTATACAAGTCACGTAACCGTGCTTTTAACCGAAAAACTTTTTTTTTTTAGGAGGAAACATATTATATGTCGCTCATGCAGCTTCCCTGGACATTATGGTATCATCGTTAGCAAGCCTTAATAGAAAAGAAACTTTCAAAAGGGCACGAGCATATGTAGTTAACCAGCAAGTGAGGGTACCGTACTGTTCCTTAGGCGCCATGTTGGATAAACCCTTCAAGGTGGTTCCAACTCCATGTCCTCCATGCGTCAACACAAGTTGTGGAAAATTCGATTGGAAGGTCCTTCTTCATATAGGCGACTGAAACAGGTTAATTTTTAATAAACTCTTTGTTCTAAGAAACAAAAATTGATAAAATTCCGTTCATCAGAAACTGCATTAGATGTAGGCACATCAATTTGTTGTTTCTTTGAAGTTGTTGTTTGTTTCATTATAGTTTGTTTCGGATTATTGGAACCTAACCCTGTATAAGTGGATTACAGATTTGTGAAGATGTTCCATTAGGGTACTAGACCAAAGGGTACACTACAGGTGCCTATTCACACGTGCCGATACGAAATTATTTTTGCAGCTTTGTGATTGTGGCAATTATTTGACGAAACAGACAGAGTGTAAATATATAATTTAACAATTCTTTTTTCTATTTTGCAAAATTTATGCTTACGGATTACGAATCTTGGCCACTCTTCCATCGCGCCGATGTGTTCAAACGCTCTTCATGTGAATAAATAAAGGTTATCTCTATTGTTTACTAAAAGCACGTGATAAGATTGGATGGGAATCAGAGAGCGCTATTTTAATATCAACGACAATTAATGCCATTCACCTGACCATTGTGCACTGCTAGTTAAACCACCAATCTCACCGTACTAATACTACTCATAATATCATGATCGTTGCCAAACGGCGGTGGCGCCGCGTAGTGCATAATCTGTGCCATAATTTGATGTTCTGTTCTATGTACCGTTATCACAATGAATAGTTGCGAACGTTACACAGCGTAGAATTTTAGTGATTATTATTTTTATAATTGTATAACATGCCTGAATAAAAATCTATTTGCGTACTATATCTATTTATTTTGCTCTTTTTTCCTCACGTTTGTAGACAAAATTAACATTTTTGTAATAATGAAACAATTTGAGTAAACGATTAACATTTAATTATCCTTTATTTACAAAATTATAAACAAATTTCGTAAAGCAATATGAAGTATAGAAGGAACTTCGGCAATAGAATGTGGGATATTTGAAATTGGGAAAACTATGTATAAAATATGACTAGAATTGACTGCTACTGCGTATCTGTCGTGCAAGTATAATACATCCAAACAATCAACAAGTTTACAAATGCAATGAATACATTATTAAAATGCTTTTACCCATATCGTGAAACGAATAAATTCAACTTAACAATGAAAAAGAATTTATTTTTATTCAAACAACAAATTTCATTTATTTTTACTCTTATGGTCTTTCCTTTTTGAAGATGGTATAAAATGACCGTTCATTTCGCAAGTGTTGCCCGCTTGCTAGCTAGTGATTGCGGTCGATAAATGTTATATCGACTTAATGTCGATTAAGGTTATGAAATAAATAGCCGAACTTGTTATCGTCGTCATTTAACGACCTCCGTGGTCGAGTGGCTTGCACACCGGTTTTCATGGTGTCGCCATCTCTGAGGAATCCGGGACCGGTCGGGTCAATAGAAAAGCTTTTCTATATTGTCTCGAGTCTGGGTGTTTGTGGTACCGTCGTGGTTTCCTATTTCCATAACACAAGTGCTTTAGTCTTACTTTGGGATCAGGGCAACGTATGTGATGTTGCCTAATATTTATTTATTTGAATCATCATCGGCCCAGTATTCGTCCAATTGCTGGTCAGAGGTTCATTTTAATCGTTAATTTTTGAAAATTCATACATACATTAAATTTAGCAATATGTGTTAAAAAAAGAAGTAGATTTGAATTTAATATACGTAATAATCAAATCCGCCTTCGTTGTTATTAAAATGTGTATGACTAAAAATTGACTTCGATACCAATAGACCAACTGTTAAATAAAAAATACAATAACGCAATTAATAATCATTACAACTTCGTAACATTCACAATTCTAACATTTTAACAAAATTTTTCCTACTTTCACAATCTATCGATAACACTGTCGACAACAATTACATGACTATTTGAAATGTTACAAAGACTGGCAACTCTGCAAATGTCATTTTACTCCATCTTTAGAAAAGGCAGGCAGGCTATAGAATTGGGAAATATTCTAATATTGAATAATTTATATTTTTTAAATCGATTAAAACGCAATGCATTACATATTTTCAACAATGCAAGCAATTTGCACGGAAGTGCTTTTATCTTGGATATTTAACTTTTCAAATCTACGAGTGTTCCGGTAGACACTTATATTCTTGTAGTACTGAAAAGTATGTATGTCTGGGCCGCTATTTAATTTTATTAACACGGTTTTTGTCATATAATTCGGCAATACCACACAGGCCATCAAAACAATGAAAAAATTAAATCCAAATGATGCCATTAATCAGACGAAAAAACATTCAGCAGACCTCTTAAAACTTAAAAAGAAATAACAAGAAGGTTTTAGGTGAAAGGTTTTTGTAACATCATTGACTTACAATTATATCGACGTTCGCCTCCCCAGTACTACAAACTAAACTGAGCAGCTAACAAAGGAAATTATTATTTTCACCTTTTCGTAACTTTCTTTAGGCGATTATCACACTGCACCGCGCCCTGTGACGGAGCGCGGAGCTGCGTTTTTTAACGTTGTACTGAAAGTATCTCAGTTTGTATGGAAAACACGCGCCGTCGAAAACACCGACGCTTCTCCCCGCGGGAGCGCGGCGCACGCTGTTTTACCGCGCCCCCGCGCGGAGAGGCGCTAGGCGCGGCAAACCGCAGGGTACGGCACACTGCGCTCTGCACTACCGCGCAATTTTTAAACTTAAGGACATGTTCAGTTTTCTACAATAGATCTCGACGTCGATAAATTTATATTTACTATTGAAAATCGACCAAATTTATCTTCATATTTTCTTAAATCTTTGAAATGAAGTTGAAATTATCCATTTATCGATCTGATTCGTAAAAAGGGATGTATCCAATATCTTCGGTAACGGTATTTGAGTAAACAAATACCAAATAGACAGTATAAATGCAGTGTCCTGAATGAGTTCTGTATTATTAACCACTCTTGTCAAAGAAGGGTCTCGGGTACATATACAATCACTATGGCGATCAATTGCGAAGCGAGTACTTTAAGTGACGAGGGGCCGCTAGACAGCTGCCCACGCGCAGATTAAACCGCGCGTTGACGCAGATCTGCGTCTCCGCCACAGCGCGCGTGACAATCTCCTTAGATTAAGTCTAATAGTACAAATTATTTTTTATTGCATTAATTAACTCTTTACAACATAAATCAAATTGTCAGGATTCCAACCTTCATTATTACTCTATTTTAGTAGTTGATCTTATTTTGTTAGCTGTTCGAGTGTATAGTTATTTTTTAGTTCACGTTAAATATTACCGTATCGATTGATTTATTTAATAAACAATTTTTTGTATTATACAATATAACTATCTGATCTAAGATTATCGTAATTTGTGATATTCATGTTTAGCGCGATTTACATTTTGCTTACTTGAGTTAAGTGTACGCACTTACAATAGTTATGTACACACAAACAAACATTTGATAGTTTTTTGTAAGATCGGGATCGCTCACAACAATTTATATGCATAAAGCCAGCATTTATTTAATAAACGTGTTATTAAAACACATAAGTTTATGTCGTAAAGTTCATTTTTTCGGCAAGAATCTCTTCCACTATTTTTTGTATAACTTGTCGGTCTTCTGCTTTGATATCCTCTGGTTTCGTTTTATCATCATAAATTTTTCTATCTATAAGTCTAACTATGACTTCTTCTACAATGGCGTCTATGTTTTCGTTTGTGCGATTTATTGATTCACTTGGATTTTCGATTGGTTCTACATTTGGTACAATATCTTGAATATTGCTTAATTCTGGTTCAAGATTAAGCTCAGTTTCAGGTATATCCCCCCTACCATCCTTTTCTTCTATTTGACTCTTAACATCATCTATGACAGCTTCAGAGAGTTCTTCAGCTATATGTTTATGGCGTTTCATGATCTCTTTCAATTTTTCTTTTGCTGATGCAACTACTTCTTTTCGCGTCTCTGACTTAATTTTTTCTATAGCTTTCATTTTCCTCTCTTTCCTTAACAATTTCAGTTCATCAAATGACTTTTTGATTTTTCCTAATTTAACATTTTCATATTTCTCCTCAGGTTGCTGAGCTTCTATATCTTCATTTATAGTAGTCATACTAGGTGTCAATATAGATGGCTCTGTATTCATAATTTCTACTTCTATCTGACTAACATTGTCTTCCTCAGTTATTAATTCGGCTTTATGCGGTACATATACATCTTCTTCCAAATAACTAGCATCATTGACCTCTCTTGACATTTGTCTGGATCCACTGTCTGTCTCAAGAACACTATCGAAGCTAATGCTATGTCCATGAGGATATTCACGGAAATCTTTCCTTTCTAATATAAAAAGAGCTGGTTTAGTCTTAATCTTAACGGGCGGTATTAATTTATAATTGACAGCTACTTGTGAGAAAGATTCTATACTGTCCAAAACAACGTGTGTATGTTGATATGCTTTGAGGTTTGAGGAATACTTGCTTTTAGCTTCTATAAGCAAATGAGTAAATTCATGCAGTTGTTCAGTATTAAGGTTTTCAGTTTTGTTGTATATCCAATGACCGTTTAGTTGTGTGAAGCGCGTCACGCCAGTTTGTGCGGCTAGGTTACTGATATGCACGTGGACAAATGGCTCTCCTTTCAGTAGTTTGTGGAATCTAAAACAAATATTTAAAATCATGAGGGATCGCTTGAAAGCTCTCAGTTACTACGTGGCCCAAAAAAACATTTGTTTCGTTAAAGGTTCAAAGTGCAAAGTCCAATATACTGTACATGTACCTTTTTCAGGCGTTTAATAAATAAAAATTGATACAATATTTTTTATAATCCCTTATTTTTTATGTAGAAGCTAGCCAGATCTTTTGAGATCTCCTCAATTTACTGTGCTGACAATACGGTCATCATTTTGCGATCCAGACAAAGTAGAAGTGAGGCATTCTGCAATAAGGATTAGTAAACTAGGCCTTATTCAGCGTGGCGGCGGGCGCAGGTGCATGTAAATCAAATATACGTAGACGCTCGTTGCGTTCACAATGGCCGCGCGCGCCAGCGCCTGCATAAAGGCGGGTGTGGGCGTGGCTCCGGGGGTAGATCTATTGCCCGTACCTTTCACAGTGATTGGTCTAGTGTCTGTTTGCGATTTCGACGTGTGGATCTACCCGCTTCGGCACTGTGAAAGGGCAGATGCCAAGACCTGCGCGCCCACAACCGCCGCCGCGCCCGCACCTGCACTCTTAATGAGCCTTTATTGCTACCCAGTCAATTTGCAATTCAGACTGTCGAAAACAATCCTATCTTATAGAAACTAAATGCACGTAGTAACAAGTAAGAAAAAGTAGACTGTGGTAAAGACTAACCTCGTGATCGCTACTCCACCAGGATAGTTATTCATTGCTACTATTGTGAAAGCAACTGTCATTACAATATTGCCCAGTACTATCACTGTTGTTCCCCAAAATAGTAATTCGTAGATTGGTGCCTTCCCCCGCCTAATATATCTGTAAAAACAATGAAAAGATTCTAAAATACTATAATACAGGATGTATCACGGACATTGTGCAAGGGAATTGCAAGAATTAATTCCGCCTTCCCCTACCCATCTAAGTGGGACCAGAGGTAGGCTGAGGTTCCAACCCCATGTTGTGGATATTCCAAGGATGCATACGAAGTGTTTCGCTTCCACATTTGTATGGCGAACGGCTATGGAGTCGAATTCCCTGTTCGCAGACTTGTTCCCTGAACGGTATAACTTGAGCCTTTTTAAGGCGTGAGGGAATAGGCATAATTTAGGTGTTTTCCAATCGTCACTTTCTATCAGGTGAGATGGAAATCTAATGCGCACTTATTTTTTTATTTTTCTCTCTATACTTACACATAAGCACAAGTGGCTGCTGATGCCATATTGAGCAATGGAAAGACGTAGATAATAAATCTTAGCTCCTTATGCGGCAGCACGGAGTACAAGAGTATGTACACCAATGCTGGTGCTACCAATTGTATCAGACGTTTGTCCAGGTACACGCCTATTGGAATGAGGACTAGACTTGGACCGAGACCACGAGGTAACGCTGAGTAAAAATACCAGAGAAACGGAGATGTCTGTTGCCGAGTGAAGGACGCTAGTAATTGATAAGTAGTTTATCAATGTTCTTTTAATTCCGCAATATAAAAATGAAAAAGATAACATAACTTCTGTTCTTTAGCAAAATTTAAATCATGTCATGTAAATAGAGCTGTGAGACAAATGTGATCGGTATAGGTAATTGATAACTAGGAACAAAATATATGTATAACTATATGTATGTATATATTTGTTCTCTGAATATACTTGATAACTAGGAACAAAATATATGTATAACTATATGTATGTATATATTTGTTCTCTGAATATACTGATATGAAATTTAAAACTGTATGGATTGAAAAAAAAACTAAAAAGGATACACCCCAACTGGAGCTTTTATTCAGCACAGTGTTGTACCAGAATACCTCAGCCTCTGGCCACACAGGTCGGCCCCAGAATATCGAATCTACTAACATTGTTAGTGCGACAAATCCCAGTCCTGCAGGTATTGTAATTTTCATTAATCTGTAAAAATACAACTTTGAGTATCTTGTCAATTACAGCAATACAATTTGCGATCATAGTAATAGCCTAATTGCGAGAATGCTTACCTCTAAGTAGGAGGTTGTGGGTTCAATTCCCACCAGAGCACCTTTACATGAGCAATTAAATTTATCATATAATTATCAATTGCTTCATATACACACAAACTTGGACCCTTTTTATAGAGAAGACAGCTCAGTTGTGCCTTGTATATGGGTTTATGATATCACAATTTAAAAAATATTAAAGGAGGGGAGGATTGTACGACAACATTGTTCATAATGATTAATGAGCTAAAATTTACAGCAAGTCATTGGTGCGTAGTCCCATTAGTATAGAAACCACATTTCATGTAAGAAGGGTCGGGTGAGCCGCGGATTTTGTCATATAAATTCATTCGAACATTTACGTAGATAAACAAAGCAGCAGCACAACACAATATTTTTTTAGGAAACTGTTTTTAATGTCAAATTATTTGAGTATTAGTGTATGAGCCTGACTTGCTGCTCCTCCCTAATTCCAGATACAATGATGGGGACAGGTAAAATCCTCACGAAAATAGCGAGCCCTAATTTACATGACTAGGCTACACTTACGACATGACATCAATTTTCCTAAAGTACAGGTCGATAATAATGAAGAGTCCAAACAGCATAGCCAGCTCAGATCTGAAGATCACTATAGCCGCACCAGCTGTTAATATAAATTGCTTGTGATTGCCTGAGAGCCATCCTTCAAATGCTAATAGTACTGTAAGAGAAATTAATCTTCTTATTTTCTTAATAGCAATGCTTTCAAATAAATCTAAATAGAAGTTATACATTCAAAAAGATATAGCTGTATTTTTTTAAAGCAGAAAAGTAAACAATTTTATGGAGGTCATAGTCAACCTTGCAAAATCAAATTTTGAAATGGATGAATTATATGATAGTTTCTAATTATGTGAATGAAAGAAAGAGAAATATATTTTTTTTGTTTTCTCCAAAAATAAAACTTGAAAATTCTCTATGTAAACATAATAATTATCAATTAGATATTGGTAATTGTTTTTACACAGAGAGTTTTCCATACTTGCAATGCAATTACAAAGTATGGAACTTTCAACTGCTATTTTGTCATAATAATAACTGCTTACAATTTACACAAAATATATTTACCTTAAATTCAATAGATTAGGCAATGCCTCCCTCTGAAATTCAGGAATGATTAAAAATAAATGTTTTTGAAAAAATTTTTTGTAACGTATATGTATACAATTTGTTATAATTGACAAAACTTTCGTCTACATATACTACAGTAGTAAAAACAATTGCTAATTACACATCAAAAATATTCAAAGGGAGGTGTAAACCACTCTATGTCTATTACTCTCTTCAAGTTTAGGTAAGCATAATCTGCCTTTTGTGATCTCTGACAATTATAATTACAGCGAGAGCCAACAATTGTGCTATACCAAATTATGCAAATTGCAATGCCACAATATTTTCAGGAATATTTTGAAATGTTTGGTTCCAGTTCAAAGATTGGTGTTCCAGCCCCCGTAGCATAGCCATGCTACGCATGATAGTCGCGACGATAAGCGCGCCCTATCTAAATTAGATCTGATTGAGACAGCCAATAACGTGCGCTTATTTCAAAGGACAATGCCCACGGCCAGTACTCTTAAAAAAGGTGTTGTGTCTCAATCATTTGAAAACCAAAAATTAAACAAAAATATTTCATGTGTTTGAGCTTTTCTACTAAAAGATTCCTTTCCGGGTTATTATTTTATAAATAATAAACAATGTAACTTCCGTTTTACAATTCAAATCATTGCTGTCATTAACGCTAGTGTTGCGACAAAGTAAAGGCGTCTGAAACCGATAGATTATGTATTATCTAAAATAGTTTCTTTATTGTTTGTCTGACGTTATTAAAAGACGGATATTTGAAAACGAGTTAATAAATTATTGAGGTACCTATTCGTATAATTCGGGGTAAACATCTTGAGTAATAACCTTGAAAGCGCAGGAATACATTTTGGGTCTCTTTGGAGGTATGAGCGGCGCACGAACTACGGGAGGTATCGTATCTAGCACTTTATTGATAGACTAGTAGACCCTTGCCTCCCGTACTGCGTTATCATCACACTGAATCCCTAAGAATGTCGCACAGAATAAGAAAGTTCGTTATTTATTGTTTTTTGTTGTAATTATTAGTTGAGGTTTTGTCAATTGGTTTGTAGAAAGTGACACTACGCCACGACATACTAACGTGTTTTATGACATGATAGCGACACTTATGATGATAATGATGATTAAATACAAGTAAATGATTATTTGTCATTCACGGCTGAGTGTTTATCACTCGTTTTGTTTTTTTTTTACTTAAAATCAGCAATAAAATACAAAAATATGAGAGTTATTTTGGGTAACTCAACAATAAGCTTTATTTTTTTACGTAAGTATACATGCGCACCACTACGCCTCCCAATACTCAAGAAGTTTGCCCCGATCTATATAATCAATCATAAAAACAAGGAAATGTTATTCATTAACTTTAAGCAATTTTTATAGAAATCGATTATGTACAGATTAGGTACATCCCTTTAGCTGTCACTCAACTAACATTGATTTAAATTGTTGGACTGTTACTGTTAGTATGTTTTGGTTTTGTTGCATCGAGTTGAGCATTTGTTCCTCTGTTACTAACTACTAATCCTAAAGTACAACACCGCCGTTCGTGTGAATCTAGTGTTAAATAAGACGTTAATATTCGTGATTTTCGACATGGCTACTGCTAGAAGACAATGTTTGAATTGTTCTTTGATGTTAGCGCCATTTATGCGCAGACACATTCTGCCGGACATTCCCGATAATATCTTAGCCATTTTACGGGCTTGGATTACACCTACACCGGTAAGCATGAAAATTATATCTTACTTTAATAGAACTTAATCAAACAAGCGTTTGTAGCTCTTCTAAATCGTTTGATATTAAACCAATGACTTCTGTGTTTACACACAATTCTGTTTGTTATATCTAGTCGTAATCACATTATATGTGTGTAAAAGTCAATGTGATAATCTCTGTTGCTCGTAAATTAAAAGACTAATGATGAAAAAATAGGATTAAGTATTGATACATGTCTCACCTATATTTTAACACTAAAAATATTTATTTTCTCTTTCCAGCTTTCAAGTGAAGACATAGTGTGTGATAATTGTTACACTTTGTTACTAAGTGCAAGTGAGAGCCAAGAACCCGTAATGCCCGCACTTGGGCATACAAGTGTCTTTGTTGTTGATGTTGTCAAGTTGTGGAATTTCAATGTTGAGATCCAGAACTCATACTGTACCACTTGATAGTCCACAAAGAAATCATATATTATCATGGGTACCATCACATCAGGTAAGCTTTTAAGTTATGTAAATCCAGCAGTTTATGTTTTCATTTTTTTAGTATTATAGTGTATATTTAAAAAAAACAAACATACAGACTTGTTCATTTCAGTATTCTCTTAACTATGCTTGAGCCAACTTATGGCAAAAATGTTATAAATCACTGTTACTTAACCTTATAAAAAGTATTTATGATTAATGTAACATGCTTATGTATTTTATGTTATGTAATTATTGATTACTGTATACAGAATAGTATAATCTTTTAATGGAAGTATGAAGTACTTAAGAATGTACTTCATTGAGGCTAGTTGATGCCTGCAGGTACTATAAAAAGATCTATCTACCTTTATTATATGGGATAAGTGAAGGTTGAGTAAAATGTTTATTTTATACTTGTTTTGTTTCAGGTAAATAGATTGGTCAGAGTTTGCCGTGCATGTTGGATGGCTTCTACTAGGACTATTCAAAGGCAATAAGGCCAAATGGCACGTATCAGATAGAAGTGTCCGAAGAAATTGAAGAAGACTTGCCGTTAATATTAGGAGCCAACAAGTATTTAGTTCGTGGGAGAATAAAGTCAAGACATTATCCAGACATTATTATTAAGACATGTATCCAGCAAAATGTACTATACATACATGTTGATAAATAAGGATGAAAATGTCAGAGACACATTAGACGCCTTATCTGGTTATTATTGCTCATGTCTCGTTGGAAAGCGAACAGTCGGTTGTTGTGTGCATGTTATGTGTATTTTGTGGTACTTGAGCTGGGCCCGTTATAATGATGTAAGGGCATCAGCTCCAAGTCTTGACTATATATTTTTTGATTAAATAATAACGAAACATAAAGTGTTTTATTTGTCCTTTAAATAGTTAAATAAATAAATAAAAGATAATAGGCACAGCGTAGAGCAGTTTCAAACGCTGTTAGTAATGTGTGGAAACGTTATGGATACGCTGCGCGTACATCACGGAGCAAAAGTGGCGTAAGACAGCGCTTTAGGTACGGTCAATGACACGTCGCACTAAATAATTTTGTTCGAAAACAGCCTAAAGGGCAACGGAATAAGATACGTCAACGTGTAGCTAAATGTCATTGTTGTCATTTTATTCCATACATTACAACATCTTAAGCTACACTGCGTTTAGTGGTGACAGACGATTGAATTTTCTTGGTTTTAAGCCATTTTGGTAGTATTATCTTCTAATAATTAACTATTGTTATTATTATGGAGCCCTCCGCCTTAACAGTTACATCAAATAGTTAATGTAAACCTTAAGTACGTTGTATAAAGTCCATATTTCTGTGCTTCAACTATAACCTAAAACCAAACTTATTTTCTTCAATATCTCTTAACTCCCGAATTGAATACTGACCTAAGTTGGCACGTGTAATCCTACAAGGCTACATAATCAATTAACGGTATTTTCATCATGACACAAAAATAATAAAGTCAGTACATTTGTCCATATGTCGATGGGCATTGTCCTTTATCGCGCGCGTTGCGACTATCATGCGTAGCCGTACTACAGGGTCTGATGATTATATACTATTTTCTTTAGTTTAATTTTTAATGTGGGATTTTAAAATGCCTAAAATAAGCTTGGTGTGTTTGCTCTCAAATATATTAAATAAAATATACATTTATTTGCTCCACAAAGGCAACGGTTATACATAAAATCAGTTCTACATTGTTTGTAAGAAACAGGTACCTAAACTAAGCGTAAGCTTGTAATATAGGATGTCAGGTCTCTCACCTCGGATAACAAGACTCTAACAAAATGTTGAGAAAACGCAAAGTATAAAAAATAAGGTAACTATTTTTAAATTTATCAATTAAACTCATTAACCTACCAACAAATGGACGTTGGGTCTAATGCAAAAACCACGAAAAAATGTCCGAAGTTAACCTATACAAATGTAGTGACATGTAACGAAATATAAAAAACTAAAACATTTAATTTAAATTGTAACGTCATTGCAGTACTGTCTAATTTTGCTTGCAATAGTTTAAGGGCCCAAAAACAACAAATTCAGCTTTTACTGGAAATTTAACAAAATGCACCATATTTAGCTTCAACTGAAAATACTTGAACAAAAGATTAATGGAGTAGCCTTTATCGTAAATATTAATTAATTTTTACATAATACGTCGAATTTTGTACAAATTCACTTAAAGAAATAATAAAGAGTTGGGCAGATATCTACATACAAATATTACTACAAATGTGAAAATAAGCGCGTACTATAAGAAATGTACCAAAATTCCAAATAAGCATAAACTAAAATACCCGTAATTCCGAAAACCGATTTATAATAAAACTATTATGCTTTCAAGTAATTTTGATGCTGTTTCCAAAAAAAAGACAAAATTAGCTTTTGTTTTGTAATTTTTCTAAAAAAATACATTTGACATTATGAAAATCCAAACTAATGTTATTTTGGGCAAATGTATTTTCTGACTTCTGATAAGTAATCCCAAGCTGTAAAACGAGTTCAATAATATTTTGTTAGTTATTGCTAATGTTTAATAAAAAATCATTTTAAAAATAAGATTTAAATCTCTATAGTTTCTTTGAAGACTCTATAGTTTCTTTGTTTTAAATATTTCAATTGCTTGTAGTTCGAACAATTGAAAATGACCCAAGAAGGTTACATAAGCTTCTTGATATTGACGTAATGGGTCTCTGTCCATCTTTTGCGCATGCAATGTGTAGAAAAAAGACAGTTAGCTATTTGATTGTTTTGTGTGCATTTGTAATTTATATTTACGATTCATTATTATATTCATCTATAAAACTGTACAAAATAACACTTTTAAATGAGAACTATGATGACACAATATATTTGTTTAGTGAAAATATGATACAAAATCCTGTTGTTACACTTTACTGCAATAATTTTTACAAGTTGTTATTATATGGTACTGCATGATTGACAACCGCACTGTCAGTCGAACAAACGAAGATTGTTGCGTGATTGATGCTCTATATATGATTTTAACGCCCTATAGGTGCAGACACTTTTTAGCGCAAACCCGATGTCCATTTATTGGTAGGTCAATGATTAAACTTTAGCTATGTGTTGTATGTATATGTGTGTGTGTGTGTGTGTGCGCGCGCGTGCAAATGTATGAATGTGTGTGCGTGTGCTCGAATATGAATGAACTTGTATACATCCTAGAATATTAACTATTAACACAATAATAATATAAATATTAACTCTATAGTATGAAATTAATTAATGAAATAACTTACCTAAGGGTAAAACCATAATATTAGGTAAAGGACGGCTCATATAAAACATGAAGTGGTACTGAGTTACAGTGATGATAGTGTACCACCATGCGTAGGTATTACCAAACTGCTTCTGCAACGTGTTCCGTAATCGACACCATGCTGCAATCACTGATATGGCTAGAGTTATCCGAACTGTAATAGAATAGATAGGATGTTAGTGTACCTTCCTTTTTTTAATGGGTAACCTAAAATTTTAAAACCAAATTTTACTCTAAAAAATATTATAAATTCACATTGGACAAAGTTTCAAAAATAAAGATGAGATGAATAAATGAAGACTCAAAAAGTATATCTTAAATCATGAAACAATAAGTAACTTTCCTTTCCTCCATGTCAATATGGGTATAATAACTAATCAATGAGCTAGAGGTATAAGTAATGAATATATTTACTCACCGACATATTGCATCCAAAACTTAGTTACCCCAAACAAATGTAATATTCCTACAACAGATGCTGATAATGCAGAAATCACGAAAGGTCCAACGAATGTCCGTGGAACTACGCCAGGGAACTCATTGTGATCGTACTGGAATAAAAAAGACCATGAACACTCCGCTACCATGCTACTGAATCCAAATTTAGAATTTTCCTATACCTGTGAGAGGTTATGTCGATGGTACAATATATCGTGAGTCGCTTGTATATTAAAGCTTTCTTCTACTTTAGTGAACGGACATAGCAATATGTGTAAACTAGAAACAATATAAACTAATTGCACCATTTCGTTTCGATTTTTGACCGCAAAAATAATCAACAGAATCAACCCATATCTTAGCTGAACATACTTGTCAAATCGAGATAGATTGACATTGAAAGACAGGCTGTATGGCATTTTGCCATAGCCGTTAAAACTCTGCTTAAAAAAACATTGAAAGAGGAATGAGAATTTTTAACCAAAAGTATGGTCTAACTCTTCATATAAGTTAAATTTTTATTGAATTGATATTCAATTATTTTTTGTGAAATTACTCCACTAGTTTGTTATAATTATTAATACAAAGATCGAACACTCAGAAAAAATTCCTTCGATCCGGTCGGATTCGAACCGACGACGTCTTCTTGCATACCGTACCAGACGCTATATTAACTAAGCCACGGAACGAACCAACGGACCTCACGAATTTTTCTATGTGCTTGCGTCGTGTCTTTGTACTTGGTCTTTCAACGACTTATAAGTTTTTTTTTATTAAAAATTTTATAGAAAATAAATTATTCTTCAAATCAATCAGGATGATAATGCGTCCCATAATATCAGAGATGTTGATAGTAACGACACTCAGAGGATGGAAAAAGTTTCCATAGTCTAGTAGCTATTATTATATCGGCACACATATTAAAGCTTGATATTATTATTTTCAATAAGGCCAGAATATTGTAAACATCTTTGTTGCATAAATAAAATAAACTTGTTAAGGAGGTGGGGAGTGGGACACTGATTGTCAGGAATTCGGACATGAAAGTATCGAGGGGCAGGAGAAGAAGATATGATTTTAAATCCCCATAGACCCCGCATGAAGTTGAATGGCAAAATGCATGCAACTCAGTGTCGAGTTATGGAAAAATGTCAGTTTGGAAAAATCTTATTGAACAAAATTTATAAAATATTTTCGCCTTTTGACATTGACATGCCTGACAAAAAGTTGAAGTTACTGAACGGAAACGATTGAAGGATGGAGCCAAAAGTGTTTGTCATAGAGATGACATTAACTGCTATATTCGCATAACACGCTAAATGTTAACTGCTAAATTTTTATAGCGCGCTATTTAAAGTGCTAAATGTATAATTTTTAGCAGCTCAAGGTCGTGTGATAATGTAACGAACGGAAAGAAACGTGAAATAGTTGACGTGCGCTAACTTCTAGCGTCTATGGTCTATCTATAGAATAGTTTACAGTTTTTTATGGTTAGTTACGACCGACTTCATTTGTTTTGCAACTATTACATAATATGGTGATTACAGGTTATAGACTATAAATCAATGAGCTTCCCTTCATACTTTAACAATTTACTATTTACAATTTGCACAAAATTTTACACTGGTTATTTACAGTAAATTACACTCATAATAATTAATAATAATGTAGCAGAGATTTTCTTTGCAAGTTTGTATGTCTAAGAAGACATATTTCGTGGAGCTCTTGACGCGGTGAATTCGATAGTGCAAATGAAAAAACATCGATTTGAAAGTAGTGTTTATTGTGCGACTGTTGTTTTGTGCTTGTTCCTTTATTTCTTTCCATCCTCTAAGTTGTACCTTGACAGAGGGGACTGCCTTTCAATTAGGAATGGGCGTTACAAATCGTATATAGTTATTGAATCTATATTTATATTGTCGCAATATCGAATATCCGATATCGTGTATCTTAGAAACTATATGTCGATATTGCTCCGCATAGCGTATTTTATAGCGATGCCGAATCAAGCCGAGCGGATACTAACACGAAATCGTATATTTTCCAAACTACATACTGATATTGCTTAGTATCAAATATTCACTGAGTGGATATCAACGGGAAACTATTTTTTGAGCGTCTTCAAAACTGTATACTAATATTGGCCCGCATCGCTCTTGTAAAACTATATCCAATAATATATAGTTTCGAAATCTGATTCCGAATGTCACTAACAGTAATGCATCAACGCAGCGCGCCCGCGGGCTGTAACCATGAATATATAGTTTCAAAAAATATAGTTTCCAAATCCGATTTAAAATATCATTATATAGTTTCGATACGATATTCAGAAAAATCTATATCACTCATCCCTACTATCAACAACGCCTCCAGTCCTATAGGCTGCCTTTAGTATATCCGAACATTGTCGATACGATACCGTTTTATTAATGCTATTTCATTGCGATTAAGTAATTAATAAAAATTAACAATTTCGTATATTTTGGTAACTGTAACTATTTTTTATTTAAAATACAAAAAATTCTTTTAAATTAGTGGTATTTCAAGCGTTATAAGAGTCTACATTCTCCAAGTTAACTTGTTCCGTTTCAGAGACATTTACGCAGTAATCGATTCCATTTTGGGCAAAAATAGAACTAAACGCATTTTTGACAACAACTCAACAATGGTGGAATGGAACGGATTTTGTCCGAGACATTTTTGAGGCAGTTTTCTTTTTCTGAGACGAAAAATATTAATAATGGTCAATATTTCACTGGAAACAGTGAATGCGATAACATCGCTGTAATATTTCAATAAACTTTGACTTAAAACCATAAGAATGTGTGATGTTTGCTCGGAGTTTTCGCAGCTTTTAGTGAATTGTAAGTTACATTGTTTCGAAATTTTGGGGTCCATTTGTCTGCATGAGAGTCTTCCTGTGCACAATTAGGACTTAACACTGCAATTACATGTAATAATTGTTGTTTATAGAATTTTGTGTAATTAACTTACGAATTTTGGGTGCGATCGCAGGTGAAGCACGGCTTACAGACGATGTGTTCCAGTACCCCACTATAAGTCAATCGGAATTGGAAACAGTGCTCAACTACATCCTCTCGTGGCCACAAAGGTAATATCCTCGATGCATAGTAATTTTATTAGGTACCCATTACTATAATAATTTGTGATTGAATACTTTATTTGGTTGCAAATGTAAAGTGTGCATTTGTATGTATGTCCATGGCAATGTCATACTCTACGGATTACATTGTTTTTGTTTATAAACATCATCTTATTTAATGTTCAATCAGTTTTTTTACTTTGTAGGAAACAATTGTGTTCAATTTATTTGTAATTGGTGATTCCCTCTTATTCTTTTGTGTCTTTTGTTACTATTCAATGTTCAAAGTACTGTTTTGTTGGCAAATTTGTAACTTCAATGTTTAGACAATACTTTTTAGTTTAGAAAAGACAATAGTTTATTGAATAATACTATGGTTTATCTGTTAATACATATTTTTCTAAGACTTAAAAATATTATTTAACAATTGAAACAATCTACTCACAGGTCTACTACTTAATTAAGTCAGTTTCCGAGGTAGCTGCGCTGTGCAGGTGTGGCAGTTACCATATCAGTTATTTTGCACTGTTCATGTAATAATTGATTTCAACAAAATTTTTCTGAAGACTTTCAATAGCAAGTTGATTGAAAAAAGTGCCTACCAAATTGATAAATTATTGACTAATTTCGTAGGCACTTGCAGTTATGTGAAATGATAAAAAACACTATTTCATTGATTTTTTACAATCAACTTATTATTCAATATCATCTGAAAAATCCTTGTTGAAATTATCCCATGTGCAGAGCAACATTAACTGTTACATAAACTGTCATTCCTCTGGTACCGTGCAGCTTCCTCAGGAACTGATTCAGTTAAGCGATCAGCATGTACAAAAATTATTATTATTTTAATTATTCAAAGTTCTGAGTCTCTAACTATTATTTTATCACATATACATCATTATTAGTAGTTTCAAGATATAGTCATACTACATAGCTTATTTTCAATATTAGCAATGTATTATAAAATTTATAATTTATTTTAGGCAATGTATGTGTTGTTACCGAGATGCAAAGAACTTCGAAAGGTTCTACTTGGTGGTGCAAAGTATCCTTTGCTTATCAGTTTGTCAACTAAAGCAACTTAAAGATGACCTCATAGACGCTGCTAAGTTGCACTCTGAGATTACGCAGGAGAAACCATTAACACCTGAGTCCTGTCCAACTGAAGATGAAGAAAAAAGTGAACAAAAAGAACTCACGGAACCTGAAGTTTTTGAGTCCAAACTGTCAGAACCAACAAAAGATGAATCGCCAAGCAAAGATAAACCTTCATCATCAAAAGAAGATGTGGAAGTATGGTCCATGCAGCAGAAAGAAAAACTAATGCACATAGTTTCCAAAATATTCCTCCTAAACTTTCCTCTTTACATGGCTTGCAAACACTCTTCATTGAGTCGATTAGATGATCTCTCAGCCCAAGAAATATCAAACCTTAGCTCCTATTGCGACTTACATGATACAGAGATACCTGCATACTTGCTTCGAAATGTTAGTTTGTTCTGCAAACTTGGTGGAGTCTGTGCTATGACATCTGTCTTTGAGAATGCTATACCAGGCACTCTTCCATTATCAATGGCCCATGCAATAGTGGCAGCTGTAGGAAATCTTAAGCTCTGGTTGAACTTTAGAGCCGTGGCACAACTGTTCATGCCTTTACGAAGCAAAATTTTAAAGTACATGTGCAGCTTGGAAGATAAAGACTTGAGAGTACCAGCTGTTAAAAGTATGGCAGGTAAGAAAGTTTGAGTAATTTATGAAATTAGTAAATGTGCATAGTTTTGTGTATATTGTATCTTGAAGACTTTTACACATTTCTCAGCTGTGTTATTCACACTTATTTTGTTGTTTTACACAAAGTGCTGTAAACATTGTTAGGAATAACTTATTAATTTTTAAATTGTTTAACTGAAAAACTTCTCTTTCGAACAGATTTCATGTGGGGTGCAGCTAAAGAGCCTCTAGACGCGCCATTAGCGTTCGACGGCGATGGTCTTGCACTGGCGTTTAAATATTTCAACAGTAGCACCCTGACCATGCGGCTGGCTGGTGTAGCGCAAATTAATGCTCTTATATCCACTCACAATGAACTGTGTGCTGGGGAGCCAGCAGGTGATGCGGAATTAGCAGGACAGCAGTTGGCCACATGGCTGACAAACAACAACATCATTGAACATCTTTTTGGACCTAATTTGCATGTAGAGGTAGGAGGCACTGCTATTTTATGTTTTACCAACATAGATTATTGTCCCCATAATTGTTAATTGCATAATATAATCAACCACAATATACTTTTGGTTCCATAATAGAACACATGAAAAAACTGAAAAGCAGGCAGTCCATAGTGCACCCAATGCATATTCTTTTCAATTTGCTAAGGCAATGTTTCATTTATTCTATTATCATAACTGCGATACTCTATGGTATTGGTATTATTGGTATTTGGTGCAATGGGCTAGTTTCCGCAACTCGACGTCGAGGCGCCTATTTTGCGTGTGGTGGGTGCAGGGTCTTACTCGTGCCACCCAAGCTCCTCCGGGAATCTCAGCAGCCTCTTCGGTTTTCTGAAGACTTCGAGGAGCGACCTCGGCAATCCAAGGTACTTTGCCCTGTAGTTGGCCACACCGGAGCACTCTAGTAGGATGTGTGCGACTGTTTCCTCCCCCTCCATGCACGCTCTGCATAGAGGGCTGGCCGTGATACCTAAATTGAAAAGGTGTTTATTGTATGGACCATGACTCGTTAGAGCAGCAGATAGAGTGCGCAGCTCTTGTTTTTCAAGTTTGATTAATTTACGAGATAGACTGGCGTTGAGCGTTGGGAGTGCTTCCCTAGCCTGTCTACAAACCGTAAGGGTTGTCCATGTTATTATGAGAAGATTTTGTACCTTTGAGTATAGTTGTTCTTGACCATTGGTAGGGGAGGGACACTATGGGTTCCAGCCCTACAGCATCCGTCTCCGACCCTTTTCTAGCTAGTTCGTCTGCTGCGTCGTTGCCACGTGAGCCGCTGTGTCCTTTAATCCACTGTAGAATTACGTGGTTGTGTGTACATACCTCCATGAGTGCTTGATGGCATTCATATATAAGCCCTGAGTTAATGTCATAGCTGCTCAGTGCTTGTAGTACTGACATGCTGTCGGAGAGTATTCGAATGGAGTGATTCTTTACTCTTCTCGCTATTATTGCTTCTGCTGCCAACTTGATACCCATACATTCAGCCTGGAATACTGTGTTGTGGTCACCAAGCGGTGTTGATATTCTGATATTGAGGTCTTCTGAGAATACCCCAGTACCTGTTCCTGAGTTTGTTTTTGATCCGTCAGTGAATACGCGGGCTTCTCTGAGGTTTAGTCCTTAGTTGGGATCTTCAAACAATTGTATCCTGTGATACTCTATTAAATTTTCTACTATCTACTCGCGAATGGCAAATGTCCACATAAAAGATCCGCTAAAAGTGTGACACTGAATACACGACACGTGTGTCATAATAACCTCGTAAAAAATATATGAACAGTTAGATCTCATGATCGATGAAATCAAGACCTGCATAACACATTTGAAAATTGTCAGACATTGTATACATACATTAAACAATATAAGAAATAAAATTTGTCTTCCAGGTGATAAAACAATCGCATATGATACTAAAGTTCCTCGCAATGGAAGGCCGCGTAAATCCGGAACACATCGAGCTAGTATGGGCGGCAGCGCAGCTTAAGCACTGCGGTCGACAAGTGTATGATTTGTTACCGGGATTTATTCGAGCACTCTCGCCCAAACCATGTGCCCATCTCTATAGCCTTTTATGCGCATTGCCACCAAAGGAGCATACTGAACAGGTGACCAAATACAATATAATGTTTAGTGCACATTTCACTATATTACACTATTTCTCAGGAAAAACATATAGGATTTGTTTACATAATAATATGGTCTCTGTGTTCTAGATTTTAGCAGTAAAATTGATGCTTCTAATTTAATTTATAATTTGATCAGACAATATACCGATGCTGAGCTTCTATTTCAGAGTCTGTTCTTAGCGTCAGCTTTAATGCGAGCTATGTGGTCGCGCGGTGGGCTAGGTGGGCTGCCGAGTGCATTAGGTGGTGCAGGTGCGGTGGGAGGAGCAGGTGCAGGCACGCCGCCATTGGCCGACGAGGCGCCGCTACGTCAGCCGCCGCCCACCTGCAAGCCTATACATAACTCCTCATCTGAAGCTAGCGTTTCCATGGACCAGACTAACTCTGATGACGATCCTGTAAGTATGCACTCATATACATTATTTTTTTATAACACTTAGACGCCTATTTTGTCATATTCAATATAATTTGAAGATTTTATAAGGAAATCTTTGCAGTGACTTATTGCCCTACATAACGCATGAATTTTGTCTGTCAGATGTTGGTTTTTATTGGTTATTGGACACATTTATGACTTTTATTGTTACAGTGCGAGGAACTAAGCACATCCGGCGAAGAAGCTGGCCCCACACCCAGGAAACAAAGTAAACATCAACGTGAACTTACCGGTAATATTATTTCAATATATACGCCATTATCAGTTGATCTCTGACAATGACTAATCAATTTGGGTTATATGCAAATAATACAATAAACGCAAATAGTCATCAAGGTGTTTCAAATTTTCAAAAAGAAAGGTCAAATACTCATAAAATCAGAACTTAATGTAATTAAGGAAATCTATTTATTAACTCTATGGTTCATTTTAATTCTTTTTTAACAACCTTAAGAACCAAAAATCATCAGATTTATACAAAAAAATAAATGAAGTATTTGTATGATGTATTTTGCGTACGACAATGTGTTTATGAAAATCCATCGATGAGAAGATAATTTGGAAATAACGCAATAAAAACTTTTTTCTGGTGTATGATCCGCGTAACGGAAGTTCAACGGTAAGTGGCTATAAGTGGGTATTTGCGATACTAAAAAAGTAACCGTACCATCGCAATGCGTTTGCCGGCTGTGGGTCAGAAGATTATGTTTCCTTTGCGTGGAATCGCTGTGGTTTAACCCTTCCATTTGAAATACTGCAATTCAGGCATAGTAAAGCCCTACCACCAAATATTGTTTATTGTCTTGTTAACTAATTATAGTATATGTAGTTTTATAGACCTAATTTATTGCTACCGCTTTCACAATCTTTAAACGAGACAGCGATATTGTCAGATGTTTGAAATGTATTAATATGAATTATAACCAAATCTTAATGAGATCTGTCAGAGATCATCATTTAGTGGCCTTGGTGCAATATCAGTGTTCACATTATTGCCTGTTTATTTATTAGCGGAGCAAGAGTGGCTGCGCGAAGGCGAAGAACTGACGAAAAAGGAGTGCACTACGCTGAAAGCTTGCCAAAAGTAAGTTTCTGAACTCTATGGAATTTCGTAAACGAAACACGTTCACTCTTTCTGCATTTACTAATGTTTTGCTGTATCCTGTACATTGACTGATGCGGTTGAAACAAATTTACAACTCTTTACAGTGAACGTGGAAATGTTAATTAAAAACTGAATTGTTCGCTGTTTGCTTATCTTTAATTAGTACCAATTGAAGAAAGAGAGAGAGAGAGTACTTTGATATAATATATCTATGATATACGAGGTCTGTCCCAAAAGTATCCGACCTTCGTCCGTTATTCCGCGCTGGGTCTTTTAATCATAATCCGACACGTGACATCCTTCAAAGTAATCTCCGTTTGACTGAACAACACGCTCCCACCGGAAACATACATTTGGAACAGACCTCGTAATAGCAGACACCCGAATTTGCCACACGGGGTCGTAATAACGTCTATGAATATTTTTCATGCGGATTTACGCATCGGAATACATTTGGTTGTCAAACCTACTTGATAGGAAAGGGAACTTCTGAATAATATATTTTTATGTTAGACGCAGCAAGCGTGCCGGCAGCAGCGGCAGCGCAAGCAGTGGCGCCGAAGAGCTGCTGCGCCCGCGTAAAAAGAAGCTGTACAAGAAGCGGCACAAGCCTGGCAAGACAAGACATTTCCGTGAGTGCATGGTCCATCATCTTGTGCTCTTGTTTGTTCGTTAAAACAAAATGTGTGCCTAAACGTGTTCCACCTGTATTCAATGTTTTTGATATTAGTCACCTCGCCATTTTGCACCAACATTACATTCGAAGTACAATGCTTGTGCCTTATAATACAGTCATGTTCTCATGATGGGAACATTTCTATTTTAACGTTATTTAATACTAGCTGGTGCCCGCGACTTCGTCTGCATAGAATAAGTTATCATTTAGCCTACTACATAGGGCGCACTATACGTTTCCGGAACTGGCCACTTACATAAACAATATTTAAAAAGTAATTATAACATTTGAAAACGGAACTCTTTGGCTATAGAATACAGTTTGTTTCATTTGACTGTCACTTGTTTTTACATTGTGGCGTCATTTTAGAAATTGGTTGTCTACATCACCATGGATGTAACTCGTGAAAATTTTCGTAGTTATGATTTCCTACGACTTTAAGTGCAATTGAATAGCTACGCGGAGCTTCGCTCGGCTTCAAACTGCTTTTGGCGATGAAGCACCGTGCAAGACGAGTATTTATAGGTTTGCAGAATTCAAACGCGGTCGTGTGAATCTCAGTGACGAATTTCGTGATGGTCGCCCGTCCACTGTTGTGACCAACAAAAACATCGATACTGTGCACCGTATGATCAAAACAGGCAGGCATGTGACATACCATGATATTCGGACATCTTTAGGTATAGGTATGAGTCAAATACAATGAGTACTACACAAATATTTCGGTGTGAAAAAGCTGTGCTCTCGGTGGATCCCACACAATTTAAATGAGGCTCAAAAAACGGATCGCGTCACTTAGTGCAATGCCATGCTTACCAGACTCAACGAAGGGATATTAACAGGTAACGAAACATGAATTTATAGCTACGATTACAAAACAAAAAAGCAATCGAGCGTTTGGGTCTTTCGAGTTGAGCCGAAACTAACCAAAGTGGCGCGCGTGCAAAGTGCCTCTAAGCGGATGACTACTTCTTTTTTTAATAAAACTGAATACGTGGTTACTGCTGTTTTGGAGAATCGTTGTACCGTGAATAGTGATTGGTACACGACCATTTGTTTGCCGGAATTTATTGACAAACTCCGTAAAAATAACCGTAAACGCCGTATCATCTTGCACCACGATAATCTGTCTGGCCGTGTGAGAACTAGTCACACGGCCAGACAGACAAATGAATTTTTGAAAGTGAACAACGTTGAACGGAAATTTATAGTGCGCCTCATGTACGTGGAGCGCACAATAAGTTTCCAGAATAAATAAGAAAAAAGTACTAATAATAATAATAATTTATTTCATAAATAACAAATCCATAGAATTACAATAATGTTAAATTAGAATTAAATATTATATATAGGTACTTAATTATGAATAATTGAAATCCAATGTCGCAGTATGGATGAGTCGCAACTGCGAGCTATAGTAGATATAATGCTATTAGTACTATCTAGCACTTTCTGTCTAAGAGTCGTATTCTAGAACTCTACTCAATGCTCAAGTCAGGATTTGAGTATGGTTTAAAGCATTCGAAATCATACTCAAGTCCCTGCCATTAGGGTCGTATTTCCAGTGCTTGTGTTTCAATTGCAATCCTGACTTGAGCATTGAGTAGAGTTCTAGAATACGACCCTAAGAGAAGAAAACCTCTTTCTAAGCACAGTAGCAAACCCGTCCGTACGTGCTAACAAAAACATGTCAGATTCACTTCAGTATCTTGGCAATTTAAACATAGTTCTAAATAAATCGTTATATAGAACGCGGATCGCATTGTACGCTTGTTCGGTACAGTTAACCCCCAAATTACACGTATATAGTGTCTGACAGTACGACTTAAAGAGCGTTACTTTAACTTGATCTGAACAGAGTGCAAATCTCCTAGCCAACATATTGTCACGCATTGCCAATGCCTTTCTCGCTCAATATCATTATCACTAAGATTTTCAGTAACTATATGACCAAGATAACGGAATTTATCCACCCTAACCAACATCACAAACACAAATCAGGTACAAAATCTGGTCCTTTTTGTATTTGAAGTCCATAAAATTTGTTTTCTTAATATTATAAACCAAGCCATGTAACTTGGTATATTCTTCACAGATGAAAATTAGTTTCCTCAACCCTTTAATTGAAGGGCTGAGCAGCACCATATCATCTGCATAACTTAGATTATTAACATTTCTTCCTCCAATATCACACCCAATATGACTGCTGCTCAGCTCTTCAATGAGTCCGTTAATATAGAGATTAAATAAGCTGGGAGAGCTTAAGCCACCCTGTCCAACTCCACAACTTAGTACATAATTATCATAAATCATCTGAATATTCATTTGACCATTTTACACAGTTACTTTGATTATTATACCAATATTTGAACAAATTAATGTACTCCCTAGACATCCCCAATCCCTCTAATTTCTTCCACAACCGATTGTAATTAACCAGGTCAAAGGCCCTGGAAAGATCTAAAAAGCATGCGTATACATTTGTTTTCCGTGCAGTGTAGTAAGACACTGCGTGTTTTAAACTCAAAATTGCCAACTCCGTTGATAAACGTGGCTGAAAACCAAACTGGCCTTCGTCCAGACTTAAACACATTTGCAGACGCTTGTTCAGAATACCACCCAAAACCTTTGCTACAGCAGTTAATGATAAGGGTCTGTAATTTCTAGTCGAAGATATGTCACCAGTCCTATTTTTTACAATTGGTACAACCACTGTACGAATCATTTCCGGTAGCACATATCCATAACCAATACACAAGTTAAATAAAATGTGCAAAACTCTTGGCAAATGCTTTCCCCCAAATATCAAATGTCCCACACTTAGGCTATCATGGCCAGGTGACTTGCCTCTATTCATATTTTTTTAAAACAAATTTGATATCTTTCAAATTTTATAACTATCACCTGCCCACATTCATTTTCAGTACAAGAATGAATCGGTGCTAAAGGTAAAGATGGTGGGTCCACACGGAAATGATCTTTAAATAAATTTGCAATATCCTTACAATAATTTACGAACCCATTAACAGTAGCAGGAAAACTAGTTTTATAACTTAAATTGTGAGTTTGTTGCCGAAATTTACAAAAATTTTTTTCAGATCTATGTTTTGTTTATATCCATTTCTATTCTGTCTTCATTATGCTGACACCATTTTAAATTACTTTTAAAAATGTTACGTGATTCGACCATTTCCTCGTCAGAAATGAATTTATTGTTTCTCAAAATATACTCCGTTAACGTTAATGCACTTTTTCATGCGAATGAACCAATTTTGAAAACATTTATGCCACTCCTCCGTGACAATCTCTGAAACATATTTTTTCATACACATCAACAGCCTCTTCAGGTGATGAAAATCGTTGACCGCGTAACTGGTTCTTAATTTTTGGAAACAAATAAAAGTCACAAGGTGCCAGGTCGGAACTGTTCGTGTGATGGCTCATAAGGTCAACGTTGTTCACCTTCAAAAATTCATTTGTCTGTCTGGCCGTGTGAGAACTGGCATTGTCGTGGTGCAAGATGATACGGCGTTTACAGTTAATTTTTTTTTATATTTTTGTTTATGGAGTTTGTCTGTAATTTCCAGCTAACAAATGGTCGTATACAATAACTACTCACGGTACCACGATTCTCCAAAGCAACAGTAGCCACGTGTCCAGATTTATTAAAAAAAGAAGCAATCATCCGCTTAGAGGCACTTTGCACGCGCGCCACTTTAGTTGGTTTTGGCTCATCTCGAAAGACCCATACGCTCGATTGCTGCTTTGTTTTGGGAAAGTAACTATAAATCCGTGTTTCGTCACCTGTTACTATGTCCCACACCAAATTTGACGCCCCTTCGTTGAATCTGGTAGGCATGGCATTGCACTAAGTGACGCGATCCGTTTTTTGAGCCTCAGTCAAATTGTGTGGAAAAATCCCATCCCATGGCTGTTTCACATCAAAATGTTTGTGTAGTATTGATTGTATTTGTCTCATGCCTATGCCTAAAGATGCTCGAATCTCATGGTATGTCCTGTCTGTTTTGATCATACAGCGCACAGCGTTGATGTACATATTTGTTGTTCACAGTAGTGACCACCACGAAATTCGTCACTGAGATTCATACGACCGTGTTGGAATTCTGCAAACCAGCTATAAATAGTCGTCTTGCATGGTGCTTCATAGCCAAAAGCAGTTTAAAACGGACGAAGCTCGGCTTAGCTGTTATATTACACTTGAAGTCGTAGAAAATCATACTTCGAAAATTTTCACGAGTTAAATCCATGGTGATGTAAACAACCAATTTCTAAAATGACGCCACAATGTAAAAATAAGTGACAGTCAGATGAAACAAACTGTATCCACAGCCAAAGAGTTCCATCTTCAAATTACTTATAATTACTTTTTAAATTTTGTTTATGTAAGTGGCCAGTTCCAGAAACTTATAGTGCGCCCTGTGTATACAACTTACTTGACAAATCATTTGATCTCCATACAAACTTTCATTATTTATTTCACCCCCTTTAAGATTTATTTTTGAAACGTAGCGTATGTCCTTCTCCTAGATCCCATTTATCTCTATGCCAAAATTCATCAAATCGGGTACAGCGCTTTAGGTGTGAAAATGTAACAGACAAGAGTTGCTTTCTTATTAAAAATTTTAATTTGGATTTTTGTCAACAGCTACGCAGCTAAAAACAACTGATCTCGCCGAGTCGGTATCGGAAGTAGAAGAAGAATCGTCTGGTAGTGACACCGCTCACTGCCAACTTCTTTGCGACAATGTCGACGCACGGTGAGTACTACAATGCACTACAGAATGTCTCATTTGCTTAGCTCTGGTCACGATCGAGTCTCAGTCTGTGGATTTGGGTAAAATAGAAGAATAGAAAAATCTTTATTTTGAAAGCAAAGCATTGTACGTATATAACATCGAGTATATAACCAGAAATAGAGACGAAATGTCATTTAATTTGTTTGGAAACTATTTTGCCAAATGACAACTGGTGGCAACTGCGCTGTGATAGGCCAGCCCGAATTCGAAATATACTTTAGAGATGGGCAAGCAAATATTATATTATCGAAATCGATAGTGTATATCGACGCCTTACGTTCTCAAACACGTATCTTATTCAGGAGTATATAGAATATACGAGTTATTATTCAGGAGATGGCAAAAATTTCTATTTATTTTAAATTTCTTATCAAGGATGTCAATTTGGATGTATTATATAGGTAAAATAAAAATAAAAATAGGTAAAAGCCAGTGTATAAATATGAAGGAAATGTTCTTTGTATAAAAACAGTCTTCTGTGAAATGCCGAGAGCAAGTGACGCTGTAATTGCTTGGACACCAGTTTTCCCATTTCGTGGATGCAATCTATTTTTTCTTAAGGCCTGGATCCTTAGGAAATCTTCAAAAACAATACAAAAATAGTAAGTTTTTTTCGGTACCCACGTATTTTAAACAAAACAACTGACAGTACACAACTCTAACTGTCTATGGGTCTCCCCAAAACCCATAAACAGTCTGGACTCCTCGGAGACTTGGCACAATCACTACACTTGCTTGGTGGATAGGTGATCGCAGTATGTTAGTTGAGAAGACATCCATGGAAAGATATGAGGTGGTTTTATACTACGGTGGTCTTTCTTGTGCATAATCTGACATACTTATGAAATGGATACATTATTCTCATGGCTCAATACTTAACTACGACGACGTTAGATGTAGATTTTTTACTTTACCGATTGTTTAAATAAATCATTATACAGTAATAATAATTATACTTGCAAATATCGATACATAATACGATTTTTTCAGTGCAACACTAGTAAGACGTGCCCAATGAATAGAACGAGATGACGTAATGGGAGTTGCATTAGGTGGAAGCAAGACGCATAAATGATTTGACAATTGATGGGTGTTGACAATAGTTTCACTGTAAATCGACCAGTTTAACTTGAACTATGCTATAATGGACGCAAATTGAAAAATTACATAGTTAATATTTAATTACCGATGAAATGTGATTCCGTTTGTTTTGTAATTACATGTTTTGCTGTTTTTCCCACACCACCGAATAGAACAGTACGGCATTGTTAGAGATATTATCTTTAATACAATAAATACAGAATATTTTTTGGAATATACGGAGACGTACACACAGGTCAGTTGCTGGCCTGTCTATATTTTAGTGCAAACGAAAGTTGATATTTTATAAGAGATGTATCGCTAATGAGTTACCAGGAATATACGACCCTTACTTCGTCTCTATTTCTGGTTATATATTCGATGGTATATAACATAATTGGAGAAGACAATACGATGCAAATGCGACTTTTTAAATAGAAAAATCATTGAAGGTCAAGGTTAAGTTAATAAATGTTAAGTAAAAGTAATTTGTGTGAATTGGACATATATGTGTAGGCGATTAATGGAACTGCGGCTAATGGAGAGTTACAAACGTCGTGGCGGCGAAGAAGAGGAAGGAAGCGCGTCCTCCGCCATTTCAGCGCACTCTCACCGACATTTGCCTGATTTAGACGAGGACGACTCCGCCTGTGAGGAGGAACTTGCGCGATTAGCTGCACAGGTAAAACAATTAAAAGTATTCATATTTATGAGATTATGGCGAAGCGACAGTTTGACCAGAATAACGCTGCTAACTTCATAAATATATAGATTTTGTATTAATTTATTCAAAAATAAACTTGTTACTTGGTGTTGAGATACTAGTATATACGCATGTGATCCCACACCATAAACAAATATATACAATCGAGAGAGCAACCTGAACTAAACAATAAGATGAAACTTTCAAGAGTTTATTTATTTACTTAGGATCTTTTCAATACATTATTACAATCTTAGGAACAACTTAAGATGAGATATTTCAACGCGAGCCTAGAATTTAGGAGGCGGGGTGTGGGGATTCGCACCTCGCGTCCGCAATTCGCTCGCTGTAGGTTGATATGAACAAAATAAGAACAAGTGAAGAATATTTGATACAGATCCGACGTCAACAAGCGCCCGATGGCGACTGTCGGGGTTGCAGGCGGCGCGGCGTGTCGTTAAACCGTTGGGCAATTAGCAAATTTTGTGATAAATGTGAATTTAATAGCTATTCAATAAATAAAACATTATATAGCTAATAGGGCTTTACTTGACAAACAAAATTTTGCTGGTTTTCCGTAGTACTTAAACAGATATTTACATATAAAAATTATACACAGAAATATTTACGTGTAAAAATTATACATAAAGTTAATCTGAAATAATTCATTTTAGACTTTTATTTTAACCTGTTTTCAGGATTTTATGTGATCGGATAAAGTATATCGTATCGTGTAACACATTAGCATATTATTTATTTAGACAGTATCGTTAGGTGTATAGTAAATTGTTTGTGAGACCATTATTTTATAATAAATACCTACACCATTCAAAACAGTTTTTCTCGATTATAAATCTAGATACAACGTGTATTGTGGAGATAGAGCGTGTCATCTTTTAGACAAACTACACCCATGTGGGTGGTTGAGAGGGCATAATTAAATTAGTGAAGTAACATAAATATTTATTGAAATTTATGGATATCGATATATATTATATAGGTAATAAGAAAATAAAACGCAATGTGATTGTAACATTACATATTAATAAGGACGTAGTTTTAATGAAAGGTGTTGGGTACAAATACCAAATAATAGGCTTTACAGGCTGGTAAAGTTAACTTGTCCACAATATAACTAATTTTAATTGATAACGTTTTATTCCACTGCCCATTACGATTCATGACTACTAAAAAACGTAAAAATAATAATTTTTCTTTTATTTCAAAATAATAAGTAAACATTTAGTCGACAAATCCATTATTTTTTGGTAGCAGTAGAGCTCTTTGTGAAAGAATTCGTCCAAGGTAGCTGCGTATCAGCATTACTGTCTTCCGGTTTTGAAGGCTAAGAGTGCTGGTGAAATTACAGGCACATGGGACTTGTCAACTTATGTCTCAGGGTAGCGGGCGCAGTGGTAATGCACCTTAGATCTTTGCAATTTAAAGCTCTGAGTGGCACTGTAACTGTTATAGACAGGTGTGTAGCTTACCATCAGGCGTACGACTTGTTCAGCCCGTCACTAGATATTATAAAAAAAATAAAATTATCTTTACCACTTCACTGGGCATGAGAGTAGATGTCTTATTTTGTCACAGGCTGCTCGCTACGTAGAGCGTTAAGCGTAGTATGCATTTTGTTTAACACGCAATGAATTTTGAGTTTAGCGATGTTGTGATTGTATTGAAAGTTTCTTAATTATTTTACGTTTTTTCGTGTTTACTTTATTAAAACAGGATTTAAGTTAATGACGTAGCCGTGAAAGGAGATGCCTCATTTTGACCGACTGACATTCGCACTTTTATTTAAGCACTTAGAAACAGCACAATATGGCAAGTGCAATATTGTGGCACGCGTGGCCCGCCCATATCGCCATTCTAACTAGATTTATTTCTGTGTACCAGACAGTTACAGGACAACTTGAATTGATAGTAAATAAAAGAGAGTTAATAACAACAACAAAAATACAATAATACATTTGGTTTGCTACAAGAACTTCACAAGTGTAGGAGAAATTAGTTGTTGAGTAAACAAAAGTAATTGTAAGAAAATAATATAAGAAAGAAAAATCTAAAAATATTTTCAAGAGTTCATAATCACTGATAATAAGATGATAAAAGTTTTTACTTTTTTTTTACTGTTTTCACAGGCTCAATGTCTAACTGAATACCAAACACAAAGCGCTCTAGCGGGTGCACTGGAAGGCAAGCGTGTACGCCCACCGTCCCCCGCACCAGCGCCCCTTCCCTTTAACGTCGATGATGTTTGTCGACCGGGGAACACACTGCTTTGGGATCTACTACAAGACGGTGCTATTGTGAGTTGTATGACCTGTCATAGTCAAGCGTAAAAATTTAAATTGCTTATTACTTCTCATGTCAAAATAAAACATCAAAAAACATTAACTTTTTTGTATTGTTTTACGATAAAAGCCGTGGTAGGCTAATGGTTTCACCTACCGCCTTTTAAGCAGAAGGCGTGGGTTCGAATCCGGGCCATTGAAATTTTTGGAATTTATGTGCTTAATTTACCACGAGCTTTTCGGTGACGGAAAACATGATAAGGAAACCTTCCTGCACACATTAACAAAGCAATTTAATTATGTGTGTGAAGTTCCCAAACCGCAATGGGCTTGCGTGGGAACTACAGCCCGAGCCCTCCCATTCTGAGAGGAGACATATGGCCAGTAGTTGGACTACATGTAGCTTAACTATTATTATATTATTATCTATACCATGAAACAAATTTTGCAACTGTGCGAGTTACTATTATATATTACACAAATGCTCACTTGCGTTTTTAATGAACAGGAACAACTTGGCGAAGGGCTGGCCCTGGAAGCCGAAAAGGCGTTATGCGCGTTGCTGTGTTTCAGTACAGATAAATTCATCAGGATAAAGTTCATTGAAGGCTGTCTCGATAATCTTGCTAATCATAGGTGAGTTTAAAACAAAAGTAATTGATACTGATGAAAGACAATGATATCTCAACTCCCTTTTTAGCTCTTTCCGTTTGTCGTGTCGTTCTAACGCGGATGTTTGATATCTTTATAACATTAAGCAACATGCAATATTATAGTGTATATACAAGGTGACTGGTTGAACGAAATAAATATTTAAAGAGATGAATGAGTAGCTGATACCCATCCCGAATATGTAAAAATAACACGACCATGTAAAAAAAAATATTAAACATTTTTATTTAAGGAAAATACTGCCTCTAACATTTTGTATTACTCTGCGCGTGACGTTCGTCAAAACAAAATCGTCTGCGCATGTGCATTAGACACCCCCGCCACTACTCGTTGAAGGCCGCTTGCGCCGGCTACCCCAATCCCGCCCGCGCGTCCCGCCGTCCGCCGGGTTAGTTCGCTTACGCCCTTTTGTAAGTCAGGACGTTGTGATTTTGCGTTTACACGCACGCGCCGCCGCCGCCTCGCCGATCTTTGTTTTCCGTGATACATCGGTCTGTTCAACTGTGTAATTCCGTGGAGTGCAGTGACACATAATGATGCCTTATCACTACACAAATGAGGAGTATTGGGACATGATACGGTGTTATGTTATGGCAAATGATGTAGTTAGTGGTGCTAGGGACCTGTACCGTGAAATGTTCCCTAATCGGCGAGTTCCATCCTACACTTTAATGTTAGGACTCAATTTTCGTTTGAGGACTTTTGGGCAGTTCACTGTGCCCTCGCATGCTCAAGGGCGAGGAAGGGATCCGTATCCAGTGAACCTACAAGAAGCGATTTTTGAATACTTTGAGCATGACCCACGCCGGAGTACTCGAAATGCAGCAAGACGATTCGGAGTGTCACAATGGACAGTGTGGAAACTCTTACACAGAGACGGTCTTCACACGTACCATTTTCGCTCTGTTCTGTGGAGCTCGGCGTCATTGACCACGGTCCGCGAATACATTTTTGTGAGTGGTTATTAAATAACCAGGACAAAAACATTTTATTCACTGTCGAAGCCACATTCACGAAAATGGGAATTTTTAATGTGCACAATGAACATTGGTGGGCACATGAAAATCCGTATGTGATACGACAGGACTATTTCCAACACCGTTTCAGTGTAAATGTGTGGGCGGGCATTTTGGGTACTAATCTTCTAGGCCCTTATTTTATTGAGGGACGGCCCTTATTTTATTGAGAGACGATTGGATCATATCTCGTAACTACGCATTCTGCAAAACGTCGTTGACGATATGTTATTCAAAGTGCCGCTGAACTATGTAGCAAACTTGTTTTACCAGCACGACTGGCGGCGCTCCCGCACCCTACCAGACACAGGTCCGTGAGTACCTTACAAATGAATTCGGGGAATGGTGGATTGGGCGCGGCGGGCCAGTCGCGTGGCCAGCTCGATCACCGGATTTAACTCCTTTAGATTTTTATTTGTGGGGTGATGTAAAACGTCTAGTGTATGCGACTGAATACCAAAGTCGGGATGAACTGAAATCCAGAATTCAGGACGCGTTCGAGAAAATTAGAAACGATAATTTTGTTTTAAATAATTTAAAAGACAATTTGCGAAAACGCGCACAACTGTGCATTGCGCGAGGTGGTGGACACTTTGAACAATTGTTAAGATTGCTGTAAATTTGTAAATTTAATCAAAATTAATTATTGTAAATAGGTATGATTCCATTTTTTAAATACGCCAAAAATACCAAACCATGCCCATACCTACTAGCTTAATTTGTGTTTTACAACTGCGTAAAATATTATGTACTTTAAAAAATAATTTATCGTAGTTTAATTGGTATTTTTGCCTGTCCTAAGCCAAAATCAAAGTATGAAGGGAAAATTGAATTATTTTTAAAACAGCTTAAGCGAGAGAGGCTTGACACGCGCTCGTAGCGCGGGGCGCGACGCGGCGGCGGGCGGTTCATTTTCCTAACAAATTAGCTGTTCGTAGAGTAGCTTAAACGAACAGAGTATTAGTATTTGTAAAATGGTACGATATTTTTTTTATAATGTTTTGGGGCGATATTTTTACATATTGGGGATGGGTATCAGCTGCTCATTCCCCACTTTAAATATTTATTTCGTTCAACCAGTCACCCTGTATACATATAATAGTGTCATTAAAAGTATGACAAAAGTTTGTATGCGTAGTTTCTCTGTTTGAAATTTAATCTGAATTGTTGTATTTTCTAAAGTTTGCACTGACAAGTGTATTTTACTAGATGTGTTTTTTTTTCAGATCTGTAGCGGTGTCGCTTCGTCTTTTACCAAAACTATTTTCATCATTTCAACAGTTACGCGGCATGGATATGCATCAAGTAGGTTGACCTCGTTACATACCTATACGCAGTCTGTGGCGAGAATATACGGTCAGGGCCTACAGGACCCTACGGACTAAATACAATAACGCATTCAGGGTGTTGATAGGGTTGTCCCGTCTTCGCAGCGAGTGCAGGGATGTTTGCTGATGTCCGTGTGGACGGTTTTTACGCCACTTTGCGGAAAAAACGCGCGTCTTTGATGCGTCGTGTGCGGGTCAGCCCCAACTTCGCTCTTCGCGTCGTAGGGAATAGGGATGCATGCTTTATTTGACACTCGTGGGTTAAACACGTCCTAATGTATAATTGAATTTTAATTTTACTAACGCTACAGTCCATTTCACATGGGTGGATGGGTACTGTGACATTTCACGTTTTTATGTTGCTATTTTTAACTAATCCCTCAACCAGGTTATGAAAAGATATAAGTATATTTAATATTCTTATAATATACCAAAAACGAACAATGTTAGTTGCAGTTGTAAATTTAAGTAAAAATTACAGTATATTGAGTAGATAGAAAATCAATATTATAAAGATAAAAATAAATTACCCCAACTACTTTATGCCTAAAACGGAATATTTATCCATAGAGATTTACACCATGGAATCGATAAATCGAATCGGTTATTGTGTACCTCGCGTCAATACGTGTTCAAATTGTATTACAATGACCTTGTATGTGGGTAGTTTTCTTTTGCTTGGAATTTTGCATGATGTTTTTGGAGTCATTCTTCAAATTTCGTTTCGTTTCGTTGCTGTTGATTTTATACTATGTTGTTGACTTTTTGTTTAATTATTGTTGATTTTTAATTTGTTGCGTAGTTTTTTAGTAACATAATAATGTTATGTTCATGATTTGTTCTTAAAGCATAGTTTCTAATATTGATTCTCGCTTCGTTATAAATTATCTCGATAAGATATTTAAATCGATTTTTTTCTATTCGATATTACATCACTACATCTCTAGAAACTTCCAATTTCAAACGTTACCGTAACCATGCTATGTGAAATGAACTTTAGAATAAATTCTCATCTTTGTATATATTAACATTGTTACTTGAAATAAAAGTATTATGATGACGTCATCGGATATACAAAAGTAATTCGTACTGTTTGTAAAACGGTGGCCATCTGACTGTTGACTATGTGATATAATCTGTTACATACAAATTATTCAGATACTCATAGTATGGGAATAATACACAAAAATAATTTAATTATTGCTGCAGGTGGTCATGTGGGCAGAGAGAGAACGCGGTATGATGCGTCTCTTTCTCGAAGATTTACGGCACTACATGTCCCAACCTCGAACGGGAACGGGCGATGCAGCTCACTATGCACATATAACTGAATTAACAGTTAGACTGCATTTTCTGACAGCTATATTCTCACCGGTCGGCTCTCCGCAACATTTCAGGTGAATAAATTATACTCTTACAACATCGAAACGATTTGTCCTTACATACACGTTATTTACCTAATATACACAAAAAATAATTGGACCACTTTGAATTTGACACCTGTTAATGACACCATCACCAAGGGAGCCGAGCCTCGCTCCGTTTGACGTTCATGGCTTGATTATAAATTCCGTGTTCTTACTGCCTGCAGCTGTCCTCCCAAACACTCTATTGTTATATTTTGGAATAAAAATATAAAAGGTATTAGACGATTATTCCACTAATTTGTAATACCGTACAAATAACGTCTATTTTTTTTTATTCTAACAGATTAACTGTAGAACAAGTAGAAGAACTCTGGCAATGCCTTGTAGTAAAAGGATCAGGCGAATGCGCTGACTGCTTATACTCATGGTTGCTATCTCACACGAAGTCTCCCGAACAACATGCACTGGGTTTGGACGCTTTGAGGTTCCTGTATGTTGAAAAAATGCCCACTTTGGATCCCGAGGTAACAGAAAACAATTTTTGTAGAAATGCATATTGTTATATTGTCACCAGGTTATATAATTTGTCCAACATTTCAGCTCCTTCGGTTACATTTAAGGAATGCAAATAAAATACAAAATGTTTTCATAAACTAGTCTCATAATATCTATGCCTTATGCTTTGTTATGTGATTATATTATACTAGGCGTTTTCAGTCAATGGTGGCATGGATTCTCCATTGTTTTTAGCAAAACATTCATTTAATGTGAATTTTGTTTGACACAGCGGTATATCCAATGTGACGTCACTAATAAGTACTGCTGTTTCTATCTGACTCTTGGTTTCTGAATTCTTGGCACTGTTTTATTTAACAATTATTGTCGATCATTATCGACTCAAATTAATGGTCAAACTGAAAACATCAATTTGATCATTGACCTACCAATAAATGGACGTGGGCTCTAATACAAAAACCACGAAAAAAATGTCCGATGTTAACCTATACAAGCATAGTGACATGTAACGAAATACAAAAAACTAAAACATTTAATTTAAATTGTAACGTCATTGCAGTATTGCAACAAAAGTAGTAATAAAATAAAAATACACAACAATAAAACACTAAATAAACAATAAAAGTAACAATTTAAGGGCCCCAAAAAACATCATATTCAACTTCTACTGGAAATTTAACAAAATGCACCATATTTAGCTTTGACTGAAAATTACTTGAACATAAGAGTAATGGAGTAGCCTTTATCGTATATATTAATTAATTCTTATGTATATTATTATGTCGAATTTTGTACAAATTCACTTAAAGAAATAATAAAGAGTTGGGCAGATACATACATACAAATATTACTACAAAAGTGAAAATAAGCGTGTACTATAAGAAATGTACCGATATTCCATCTAAACGTAAACTCGAATATCAGTAATTATGAAAACTGGTTTATAATAAAACCGTTACGCTTTCGAGTAATTTTGATGCTTTTCACAAAGACAAAATTAGCTTTTGTTTTGTAATCTTCCTAAAAAAATACATTTGACATTATGAAAATTCGAGCTAACATTATTTTGGGCAAATGTATTTTCTGATTTCTGAAAAAAAAAAGAAAAAGTAATGTAAAATGAGTACAACAATGTTTTGTTAGTTATTGCTAACGTTTAATAAAAAGTCATTTTAAAGATAAGATTAAAATCAACACGACTCTATAGTTTCTTTGTTCCAAATATTTCAATCGCTTATCGTTTGAACAATTGAAAATGACCAAGAAGTTTATATAAGCTTCTTGAAATTGACGTAAGGGGTCTCTTTCCATCTTTTGCGCAAGCAATGTGTAGAGGACAGTTAGCTATTTGATTATTTTGTGTGCTTTTGTAATTTATATTTACGATTCATTTATATATAAATGAAATACTATAAAACTCTACAAAATAACACTTTTAAATGAGAACTATGATAACATATTTGTTTAGTGAAAATATGATACAAAAACCTGTTTTTACACTTTACTACTGTATAATTTTTATAACTCATTATTATATGTTACTGCATGCAATCATGCAACCGCGCTGTCAGTCGAACAAACAAAGAATGTTGCGCGATTGACGCTCTGTACGCGATTTTATAGGCCCTATAGGTGCGGACACTTTTTAGCGCGAACCCGACTTCCATTTATTGGTAGGTCAATGAATTTGACCATTTAAAAGTCTTTTTTTTTTTTCAGTAACATTTAGCAAAACATTTCATTTTCTCTTGTCGAAAATATTTTCGTGTCTCATATATTTTTTCATCTTCACTACAATTTCGTCTATTGTCTTTGCTTATTGTATGTTTTATATCAATTAATAGATTCAGGCGTTACTTTGCGGAAGTCCATGTTAATAAAAATGGAAGTAAATTAATTTGCTACTCTGCGACACTCAGTGAAGGTTAAATCGTGCAAAATAGCTGCGCTTGTGTTGAATATTTTTTCACGCATTGATTATCCCACCAGATTCCCATTCTTATGAAATCTTACATTTTTGCGAAACTACGTCTGGATGTTTTAGAACAGAAGGAAATAATTAGGTTTAACAACAGGGGTTCTATAATCAATGAACTATTGAATTTGGCATCAACCGTTCTGAACAACCTCTCTCCCCTCATTTCAGCACGTACAGTGGTAGATTTTCTCCCACAGCACTTCTTCTTCTTATTTCTGGCGGAAGTCTGCAGTAGCGCCCTAAGCCGAGGTCCGTGCCCACTTGGGTTTTAAGTTTAGTTTGAAGTTTATTCTACGGGCTATGAGCCTTCAGCTCGCCCTTTTCTTTCGGTGGCGTAGTCAAGGCCATCAGCGGCCAGCTGCAAAATATCCTTCAAAAAAAAAAACAACCTCACTTTTCGGCCGAGCGCCGAGCAGTCAACAGCCCCTGAGGATGCCTCGTGGAGAGGTGGAACACGTGTCGGGTATATTTTTGGTGCTGGTTTATGACTGTAGTTGCGCTTGTGTTATTTATTTTATTAATTTTATGCGGAGGGAGGGTTGATATAATTAAAAAATATTCAACACAAGCGCAGCTGTTTTGCACGATTTAACCTTCACTGGGTTCGCAGAGTAGCAAATTAATTTACTTCCATTTTAGTTTTATATCAGTCGAAACCAACATAAACTTTATGTTATATTCGACAGACAATCAGCATAATGGGTCTCAGTCTCTATCAGCAACTATGCAACTTGGCTCGCATGGCGCTCGGCACCGGCGATTCTAGAGACTCCGCTCATCCTCATACGTTGGCAATGGATCATTTGTGGAAAATTGCTCTACGGGCCAATAGCACAGGTATTACATCTCACCTGACGGAAAGTGACGATGAGGTCGACGATGGAGCATGCACAACTAAATAATGTCTATTCACTCTTGCTTTGAAAAGTTCCTACTTCAGGGAATAAGTCTGCAGGCAGGGAATTCCACTGCATAGCCGTTCGCCACATAAATATGTAATCGAAACGCTTCGTGTCAATTATATGATAATGATACGTGTTTTTACGAATTTATTTTACTACCACAGATAGTATAATACTATAGTAGTACTACGATGACATTAATGAATAATGACTCACTGAACACTTACTTATTTTTAAGTGTTATGTCTTAACACAATGACAAGTTAACACAAAACACTCAGTTATTGGCTGGCAAGTTAGTAATTGCAATATTTGAGTTATTTGAAGAAACTTTCATAAGTTTCAAGTGGCGCTGACAGCAATAGTTGTTTAAACCCAACACAAAGATCGCTAATTCGGTCTATAGCTTAGTTGGTAAGAGCGGTGGCCACGGAGTGGCAACAGACGCTGGTTTGAGTCCAGTCAAAGCGAAGTAGTTTTTCTTTGTGTTTTTCGATCTTTGTTTCAATAATAATTGACATGGATGTCAGAAGCCAATACTAGCCGCCACAATTTCAGGCTCTATATGAAATTTAACAGCCTTTAAAACCCTATTGCATTTTTTTTCTCCTAGATGTTTCAATGGGCGCGATTCAATATCTAAACAGTTATTATATGGGCCAGCAACTACAACAGGAGGACGATTTCGTATCCAAGTGTATGTTCCATCTCTCTTCCGCCGCCGAGCGACTCATATCGAAAGAGCAGGTTGGGGAAAGTTCTATCAAGTTGACTTGTGAAGGCAAGAAGGAGGATAAACTGAATATTTACGAACACATGGCTGAAGAGGCTGCATTGCAATGTGTACAGAGAGCGCTGCTGCTGTTGAAAACGCATTTAGATACTTTTAAAAGGAGGTATGTTTTTCGAAGATGTAGTTTATATAACTGAATAGATTATTAGTACAAACTAAGTAAGTAAGTTCTTAATTTCAATTTCTTTCTAGATATGCATATCACCTCCGTCGATGGGCGCTGGTGGAATCAGGAGCGTGGGAAGGAACACCAGGACCTGGAAGCGTGCGTTTAACACTTCAACCGGCTGGCGCGGGACCCAGAGCCACCATCTCTTTACATCACACTGATCTCGTAGCTCATTTGAGAGCTCATGTTCATGTTTGGTGGGAGAAACAGGTAGAGTACTATGCATATTTTCAAAAAATATTCCAATGATTTAAATATTTAATGTATTTGGGTAACTTTAACTAATAATTAACCTTATATCTAAACGATTAAGGTGAGCGATTGGCCAGCCCGAATTAGAAACAATTGACGGTTACGTCAATTGTTTCACTTCAAATGGTCCAGTTTAACTTGAAGTTTTTTAATTAGATATTTTGCTGTTTTTCCTACACCACCGAATGGAACAGCCACCCATAGTTAGAGATATTATCTATTACAATAAATACAGAATATTTTTGGAATATACGGAGACGTACACACAGGTCAGTTGCTGACGCTGTACTATTTAAGCTTTCTAATTTGTGATTTCAGTGCAAACAAGAGTTGATAATTAAAAGTGATAAGGCCCATTTGCCTGATGAGTTGCCAGGGATGGATGGCCCTTATTTCGTCTCTATTTTTGGTTATATACTCGATGGACAATTGTAATGTCCAATACATTATAATGAAGTAGGTTACGCAATTGTCGACTTCTGTAAAACTTGAATATCTCCGATCTGGAGACTTGAAAATCTGGTACTGCAATGAGAAGTGCATCAATTTAATAAAACATTAATATGTTTAATATTTTGACAACTTTTCCCTTACATAGATCTCATAAATTTGCCTTCCAGTAAGTAGGCATTGGAATAAATGTATGCACCTTTCTAGCGTTTCGTAATTGTAAATACATCGGCGTTACTCTGGTACTGTACCTAATATTTTGTTATTTTTAGATACAAGGTGAAGAAGGCGTAACAACGTTGTCTACAGATGGCCCACTACGAATGATAACTCAAGGGCAAGAGCTCACGATAGACTACGATGAAAGGACACTTTATGACATGGGGTTTAAAGACAATCAGGTAGATACTTTTTGCAAATAATTACCCTTAAATCACGAATACCAACACTAGTAATTGCATGTCGTTGACAGCGACTATGAAATAAATGGACGAAACTAATTACACTTAAAATCGTCACATTGATTAAACTCTACTAACTCTTTCGAAAGGCAGATTTCCCTGAAATGAATGAGTAAAAAATTATGGGGGCTGTTCTTTGTATATAAATATGTGTATACATTCATCATTTACAATATTTATCAAAATATCTCAAATATCTCAATATAAAATCGAATCGAGAGAGCACATTGGATGCACCCATAGGCTTTACTACGATCGGCCTGCTAAGTGCCGATTTATAAATTGGCATTTATTCTTTATGCAGTTATGGAAATTTAAACATGACCAGTTATTTAGCACACTTATTCAGGATGAAAAACAGTTGTTCATGTTACAGCAGTTGAGTTTGTTAGTTCTGTAGGGCTAGCACTACAGGACGCGACTCGATCGAGAGCGACAAAGCGTGAGATACTGCTATTCTGGCATCTCGCGTTTTAGTGCTACCCCTATTGATTGGGTGGTCCCTGTAGTAAAAGTTGTTAATATCGATAGACTCATATTATTTTTAAATATTGTGCAATTTATTAGATTTCAATTTTTAATTGTAGATCCAGAAAAGTTTATCAAAAATTGCTTATAAGCGTGTATTTCTTTTCAGTTGGTATTTGTATCAGTGGGTGTAGGCGGAAGAGGCGCGTGGGCGGAATGGCCGTCAGCACAACCCGCGCCCGCCAGAACGAGATTACCCACCCTGTTGCTACTCGACCCTACGTATTTCCATCAGCTGTTTACGCTGATGCAGGCGTTAGGGCAGATGAAAGAGCCTGGGGCAAATGCGGTATATGATATTTTTTTTATAGTTTTCAAATGTGGTAGAAAACATTGTAAATTTTTTCCCTACACTCACAGACTTTCAGCTCTTTGATTTTTTGCTAGAAAACTGTTAAACTGAGTTTAGATTAAATGATTATCACTAGTATCAGGTTTCTTACCACGGTATGACTTCTTTTTATTTTCCCGATATTTCATTTGATATTTTATTTGAGTTTAGATTGTTTAAATTACTGTATTAACTTTTTTACAACGAGGATATTGTTTATGAGTTTAGACAAGAAATCTTGACAATGTTTTAGTTGAAGCTTGCAATTAAAAAATTCAGGCAGTATTGAGTTTACGGCGCACAGTGTGTTATTTCACTTTAGTTGCGGACATCCTCGTTTTATGTTCGATTTCAATAGGTTGAATCCTAATAAACTGTACTAAGAAACACCCGTTTGGATATTTACTTTTATTATGGAGATATAGTTTTTTTTTCGAATGGTCACTGAACTTCAAGAAAAATATTTTTGCCTGTATTTCCCGAAATACGTGAAACTTCCCTTTGAAAAAAATACAAATTGACTGTCTATTTAAAATTTATTAAATGTGAAAATCGCAAGTCCTTAAGCGCGCAAGAATGCGAGAAAAAAATTTTTGTTAATTTTAAAAATATATTTATATGAAATAACCGTCCCAAATTAGCATTTTCTTTACCTTCGACATATACTACATTAATGTATCTATCGAATAAAAAAAAAGTAAACGTTTATCTCGGAAGATCTCCGAGATTCCGCGTTTCTAAGGTTTTTTTAGATTTCTATGGAAATAGGGTTCTCACAAAATGTTTAAATGTTTACCCGACTACATGAATCAATGGCGGGGTATGTGTTAAAACAACAATAATAATATATTTATTTCGAATATGAATAGACTTGTGTTGTGTTAGTAAATATAAAATTTTGTTCATACATGTGGGAGCTTTGGTAGCCCACAACAATTCAAATTCCTTTATGAAGTTCAGGTAACATAGTTCATATGGTACATAAATTGAATTTTTACATTTTTAAGTTCCGTTAGTTAAATTTAAAATCAAGTGAAATAAATTAAATTCAAGTAATTATGTCAAAAATAATTTAGTACAATGTACGTTACTTAGTATTGGCATATTTTGTTATAATATTCACGTATGTGCATTACGTTATGTGAATAAAGATAAATTATCCTGGCAAATGCTTTCAGCATTAATGCTGGCAAATGCTTTCAGCATTAATGCTTTCAGCATTTGCCAGGATAATTTATCTTTAATTTATAATTTATCTACATTTTCCTCATTATCGGATTGCCGAATGATTTCGTCTGTTGCTAGCGTGATATCAGCAGCTTCAATATTACCCATCAGAAGACATTAGTCTTCTGATGGGTAATGATGGTAACGAACATTTTCCGTGGTCACTCTTAGAAGGCGAAGAACTTTACCAGGTATTATAGGTAGAGATTTTTTATGTTTGTGACGTGTACTCAGCGTCAAAGTCCGATCCAACTTTCGTGTATGGTGCTCTCGATCATCATAACGTTAAACGGTCTCGATCATAACGCCTTGTTCCTTGATTCATCGGCTTGTTCCGATAACATACCTATTGGTAATATGCTACACTCAATGAATATAAAATATTGCACTTTGCCGACTGAATAAATATTCTGTGATAACCCCAACCCAAAATTTAAAAATGCAATATTTCTTTCTCTTGTTAGTCGCATCTGGATTTTTTATTTTGGTAGTACTTATTACTGTAATTAACAAATCCTCGTTGAAAAAACATGTTAATATGTAGTCTTCAGAAAAAAATGGATTAAACTATAGAAAAAAATTAATTGTACACTAGGATAGCTTTATATTTTTAAATTTTTGGACTTATAGGCGCTTTTAGTAGTTTTCTATCATAACAGGTAATATTTAATGAAAAGTCATTTACAGGAAAGGAGATAATCCGATTTTATGGTCTCTATGGATTTTTCTCGATTTTTTACATTTCTCTAAAACTATGCTAGATATAGAGGAGAGTTTAATTAAGAGCTTTGTTTAAGTATTATCTTTCTAAAAAAAACACATAAAACGAGGATGTCCGCAACTAAGGCAAAATAACACACTGCCGGGCACAAGCAGGTATATCTGTCTCGCTCACTCGTTTAGATTATTTTACTGTTATCTTTTTTTGTACGGTGATTTGGCTGGGGTTGAAAATTGTTAAAAGCTTTTAAACGTTCATTTTCCTTCAATTTTATACTTGAATTTGTCGCATCTGGTTTTTTTTCGTGGTAGTACTTATATAAGTAACATATCCGCGTTGAAAATAAATGCTAATATGTAGAAATTATTCAGAAAAAAAAAACGAAATCATAGAAAAAAATTAATTCTGGTCTAGGAAAGCTTGATATTTTTATTTATTTTTTGGATGTCTTGGTGCTTTTAGTAGTTTTCTATCATAACATGAAATATTTAAAGAAAAATTTACAGGAAACGTAATAATCTGAGTTTATGGTTTTTTCTCGATTTTCAAAGTTTCTCTAAAACTATGATAGATACAGCGTGGAGAGTTTTATTACGAACTTTGTTTGAATATTATCTTTCTAAAAAACACATAAAACGAGGATGTCCGCAACTAAGGTAAAATAACACACTGTGCGGCGTTTATGGTTTTACGATGATTTATTTCATTTGTAGGAACCAGTGGCCCATACGAAAGCACAACTGCTTTCCAGACGCGTTTGGGATATTTTGCAAGCAGTACCTCTAAACCCCACTCTACTCGAAGCCTTTCAGAACCCCATAGAGAGCAAACTACCAGAATTACTTGATCCTAACAGTCCCCAGAAACTGATGTATTCGCTACACATAATCGACAAGTTGAGCTCAAGTAATAGTGGCCCAAACGTAAAGGAAACATCGGAGAACGAAAAGAGTGAAGAAGAAAAAGTAGGCGCTGAGACTTGGAACGATTTGTTTATCAAGAAAGGTGGTTTGAGGCTGCTTTACGATATTATGATGTCGGGTGAGTATACAAGAGTCATTTTGCTGCCGTTTATTAGAGTGTTCTATTTATATAATGGCCTCAGTAGTCACACACACATATGCATATTGATCAGAAAATTTACAAAAAGGTACTACATAATCTCAATACAGAGTACTAAAAAAACCGACCTCAAAAGTACGTGGAATTACGTCTATTTGCTAAGTTTTATTGAAATATCCCCTAGTTCGCCACTATACAAGACTTGACACTGGAGACAATAAAAATCGGTTCTCACTACTCAAAGTATATTGAAAGAAAAACGCATTGAATTGGAGAAATAGCAAAATCAACCATTAAAATAATTGCTCCTAAATTAAAGTCTAGGTGCTATTTATAAAAATGAATCTTCATGCGTGAACAGCCACCCTTACAGCTGGATGATTTTCTTCAAAATGAAATGGGACCACTATGGAAGTACCCCCTTTCCAACAAGAAAAGAATCATGAAAATCAGTTCACAAATACCGGAGTTATCGCGTAACATAAATAAAAAAGGACATACAGTCGAATTGAGAACCTCCTCCTGTTTTGAAGTCGGCTAAAAATGTTTACTACATTTCAGTCTTAATGCATTCTAATATGATTTGGTTCCTCTGGTTTTAAGCTATTCTGATCTAAAGATAAAAAACGGAGGTTCTCAAGTCGTACTTCTTTGGAAAGGGTGTACCTCAGTAGTGGTTCCATTGAAATGTAAAGAAAAAATCCGTCTCTAAAGGTGGCAATTTAGAGGATTAATCCGCTTTATTTAATTTCATCCACTTTCCGTTAATCGTTTCCGTTAATTATAATTACAATGAAAATAAAACGCAGCGAAAACGGAACAATCTTTTAATGTCGGTTTTTTTTAATAAAACAATTATGTTACGCGTTATCCTATTAATTATTTTCATCATACTGTATTTCAGTTCTTGTCACCCAAGTTAATATGTTTTCTATCATAGTCCATGCAATTTTTTACCGTTTATTTGTTTCGTAGGTGAACTACAGCGCAGTGATGATAGCGAGTGGCGGCAAGACTGCCTCGCCTTGTTGTTGCAGCTTTTATGTCGAATAGGCACTCTGCATTCTTCAGATCCAGCACAAACACCAAAATTACATCCTGTAAGTTTATTTTTATTTGTGTGATCATACGTCATCATTAACGATCAAACGATAAAGACTTTTTAGGAAAGCGATTTATTTGCTTGAACTGCGTATGTCCCACACGGTAAAACAGTGCTAGAGAACAAAAAAGTAACGAGAATGGACACTGCGCCCCTCCCTAGCTTTAGATACCGCACCACGCCCCGTACATTGACAAGGACGGCAACAAGGCTGTCGGCGAGCTTTTTCGCGACGGCCTTTTTTTAGACGGCTTTGATATTTAAATATAGTTTTCATTTATTCATTACGAAACTTGTTCGTTAATATATAACATCATTGGACGTTACTATTTATAAAGGCCTTGAATTGTACTCTATACGGCTGTTTATCGTCATTTAAACGTGAGGAGTTTCCTTCGTTTTCCGAAAGATGAAACGGAGTAAGTAAAAAAAAACATACAGTTATTATTTTTTTCATTAATTTAGTGCAAAGTAATATGTAATACAGATTATATTACTGATTACTTGTATCAATATAATAATGAGACGCCGTAAGTTCACGAAATAGTAGACAAGGGTCCTCGAATTTTCAATTTGTATTGCCGATAAACATTATGTAGTGAATATAATTATTAACTAGCTAATGATAAAGTTGGACAAGCAATTTCAAATACCTTGATTATATATTTGAACGTAGCTGCCTGGAATATAACATTTTAAGTGCTTTTAATATTAAAAAAAAAAAATCTTCAATTATTATTCTAGTTAGTGAATTAATGAAATATATAATATTATGTCAATATAATTACCTAATGAACGTGTGTAATTACTAGGATTGTATTAATAGAATTATCAGTTATCTAACTGATTCGCGTTAGAATTTTCGCTATGTTGCCGCTCTGACCACAAAACGTAATGAAGAATTATGAAAGAAAGTGATGGGTAACCTTGCCACTTCACGCACACATTGTGCACACACAGTGCAAATAGCGCTTTGCTGAATGTAGTAGTAGTAGTAGTAGTAGTAGTAGTAGTAGTAGTAGTAGTAGTAGTAGT